CGACCAGAGGGGCTTTGAACCCTTTCTTTTGGCGTGGTTTGGGGCCTGGGCACAACATACTGTAATTGAATCAATCCCTGGAGGACACGCCACAGCCCATCCATGGGCAGCCTGGTTAAAAGTTCTTCAAGAGATGATACGCATGAGTACGAGACGTTCTGTTTTCTGGAGCGTTATTACACCCGAGGCCACATCTTTCTTTATGGAAAGCACACTTGGGCATCTCCGGCGGGCAGCCCAGGAATTTATTAAAAACGTTTCACACTTGCGTGCCCCAAAAACTTTGGGGGGGGGGGGGGGGGGGGGGGGGGCATCCTTTAAGAATTACTCAATTTTCCTGCTTTTTGAGGGGAATGTGGCGGCAATTGACAATTCCTGTTGTGCTAAACTTATCCATTAAACTTTTAATATACATAGCCTTGTGCCAATACTGTGTGGGCTGTGGGTGTACGTGCCAGCCCCCCATCCCCCATCCAGCATTCAGCATTCGGGGAAACGTCGCAGATATTCAAATCTGACAAATTAACATATTGCCGGGGAGAACGTTCAGAAATACTTGCGAATACGAATACGAATACGAATGAGAGTGTACGAATGCGAATGCGAATGCGAATACTCGTAAGTGAGTAAGTCAACAGAAAATGCTCGGTAATTGCGAAATGTCAGAGCCGGCTAACGCCCAGGGCCCCGCGGGTCGCACAGGCCCCAGAAGAACTTTCTAATCTGAATATAAGGCGCATGAAGTGGAGTACCAAAAAAAAAAATGGAACAGGAATTTTGGGTGTAATGAACACAGCGGGATAGCAAAATATGTACAAGAGTTAATGCTCGGAAAACAAAACATAACCCAAAGCACGTTTCGCACTTAGGCAGGACGCCACAGAAGGTGCCAGCCTCTCTCCATCTCTCTCCTTCTCGGGATGGTATGCGATGTCCTATGGTATATGGTATATGGTATATGTATATGGTGGGTTAGGGTGGGACCATCATCATCTCCCGCTGGTTTAGTCGGGGACTAAAGCGTTAAGAGCTAGTTAGCAGGGCCAGGTGAGAGGAAGGCAAATGACGACTAGGACAGCCGACTCCAGGGCCTGACGTGGGGCAAACAAAACAACACAAAAACAGTTAAAGAAACTGGCACTGGCACAACAAATACAGAGGCACCAAGACGTGACAGACATTCCAGTTTCCGTTACTCTTACATCCAGCTACAGCTACACTGGGAGAGAGAGAGAGAGAGAGAGAGAGAACCCAGAGGAATAACGTCTTAAATCAGGCAGAGGCTTGGGTACCTTTAAGTCTCTAAAAGAACAAACAAATAAATCTTTCCCAAAACGCAAATCGCAAAAGTGCGTGCTCTGGTTTCGGCGAAATTTGCGAATACCGTAGACTGGTTTGTGTCTGACTTCAAAACCCGAAAAGTTCCCCACCAATTGAGGTGAAATTCAGTCACTGGATGGTTATAGGTTAAAGCAATTTACCTACATTTTTGTAAAATTATATAATCTAGAATTTTTGCTTATTTTATCTCCTTGAAAAGACTTATTTGACAGGCAGATTTAACGGAAATGATTACTAAATTCACATTTTTCTTTGAGAACAAAGGCCTTCCATCGCATCTCATCTGAAGATCTCTTTGTAAGACCCAAAACTTGTGCGTGTTTCCCCCAGTGTATGGAACTTCTGTTGCCAGTTTTTGAAAGGGATTGTGGTTGATGGAAGGGAAGGGAAGGGAAGGGAAGGCAAGGGAGGGGCAAATTTTTGCTCAACAAAACGCCATAGACATAATTCAAGTTTTATTGCCATTGTGAAGGAATCTCGGCCTCTGTTTTTTGATGGCAAACGCTTGACTGGTGGGGGGGCTTTAGGCGCTTACCCCGTGGATTTCGACAGTTTACCCTTTGGCACTCCACGGCGATGGAGTCAGAGACAGTGAAAGGACAGGAGAGAGCATTTAATTATTTTAAATGAAATGAACAAAGACAGGATATCAGCAAGGCAAACCGACTAAAAACAAAGGCAAACACTCTCTAGAACAGACTGTGAAAAGACCAACTAAAAAGGACCAGCCGGAGATGAGCCCCAGCTCGAATGCCGGCAAAAGGAGACTAATATAATATTTATTACGGTGATTATGTCAGGGCGGCAACGCCCTCCGGCCCGGGGCCCAGCAGCCAGCAGCCAGCAGCCAGGAGCCAGGAGCCAGCACCCAGAAGCACGGATCCATGGCGAAGGCAAATGATGAGTTTTTGTGTTGTGGCATCAACCGCAAAGCACATAAACTATGATGACGATGACGATGCCGATGCCGAATTTAAGATTGTCAGCCGCAAGTTAAACCGCAGACTGCCTTAATTCACATTAATACAGGACAAATTCCCACTAGTAGACACCGTCCAGAGCCTGGCACTCGCAAAGGGGCTTATTTCTAAAACATTTCTGCACATTACTTGGAAAACAAATGCATTTGATAATCTGCCCTGAACGTCGTTTCATATTCTGTTGGGAACACTCGGAATTATTAACGAGTGTCTGCATCCTACAGTCTCGATTGCAATTCAATTCGGGGGAATGCAATCCATCCATCTATCAATTTTTAAACGGAGCCTCCATGTAAGTCATGCAAAATGATGACAGAACAGCGGACAGACCCGTGTCCAAATGGGGGGATAAATTCACAAAAATTTCGTTGCTTTTTCCGTAAGAGATTGGCCACCCATTGGAGCGTTTACTGTACCCTAAAACCCTGACGTATGTCAAGCCTGGGGCGCCCAAGTAGCAAATCGAAGGCGCATCCAACTGTTATTTGTTTGAATTTTTTTTTTTTTTTTTATACCCGATACTCAAAATGAGTATTGGGGTATATTAGATTTGTGGTAAAAGTGGATGTGTGTAACGTCCAGAAGGAATCGTTTCCGACCCTATAAAGTATATATATTCTTGATCAGCATCAATAGCCGAGTCGATTGAGCCCTGTCTGTCTGTCCGTCTGTCCGTCCGTCCGTCTGTCCGTCTGTCCGTCTGTCCGTCTGTCCGTCCCCTTCAGCGCCTAATGCTCAAAGACTATAAGAGCTAGAGCAACGATGTTTTGGATCCAGACTTCTGTGATATGTCACTGCTCCAAAAATATTTCAAAACTTTGCCCCGCCCACTTCCGCCCCCACAAAGGGCGAAAATCTGTGGCATCCACAATTTCGACGATACGAGAAAACTAAAAACGCAGAATCGTAGAAGATGACTATATCTTCTAGAGTGCAAAATCTGAACCAGATCGTATAATTATTACAGCCAGAATCACGAAAACAATTTCACTCTTTCTCGCTCTGTCTCACTCTAACACACAGGTTTCATGGTCGGTTTTGCCAATTGCAAAATATGAGTTCAAGGATCTCAGAACCTATAAAAGCCAGAGCAACCAAATTTGGTATCCACACTCCTGTGATATCGGACCTTGACCGTTTCCTGTCCAAATTTCGCCACACCCCCTTCCGCCCCCGCAAAGGACGAAAATCTGAGGCAACCACAAATCTCAGAGACTATTAAGGCTAGAGTAACCAAATTTGGTGCACACACTCCTTTAAGATGTCACTATAAAACGTATATCTCAGAATTTCGCCCCCCCCCCATCCGCCCCCACAAAGGACGAAAATCTGTTGCATCCACAATATTGCAGATTTGAGAAAACTAAAAACGCAGAATCATAGATAATGACCATATCTATTAGATTGCTGAATCTGGATCAGATCAGATCATTTTTATAGCCAAAAGGAACAAATCAATTTGCAGTGGCTACGCAGCGCCCGACGTCACGCTCAGACTGATTTTCTGTCTCTCTCGCACGCACTCTTTGTCGTGTCGTTAAATATTAGCGGCGTCTGCCGGAGGAGAGCCATACTGACTTAGTATCGGGTATAACCGTAGAGTTGCGGTGTCCGCAGCAACTCACAACGTTCCCCCTCGTTTTTTTTTGAATAAATAAAATATATCTCATCACTTAGCTTAATTGCTGGAAACAAAGTAGTTTTCTGTGACAAGGTCAGTTAGATGATAAATGTTTGCCTTGTATGAATAATTATTTGCCGGAAAGACTTAAAAATTGCATTGTCAACGACTGTGGGACGTCTATGAAGGACGATGATGAGGTATGACGTCCGGTCAGCATCGAGTTGACCGCAAATAAAGCGACCGTGAAGGAGCCCTGATGGATGGCACACAGGTGGAGGCGTACAGTAGTCGAGGAGTACACCAGTGAAGGAGTGTGGGAGAAGGAGAAGGACTTAAGGCTTAGCGGGAGAAAGACAGAGGAAGCGCAAAGGAGATGGCAAACAGAATTGGGGCAGTCCTCTAAAAGTGAAAAAAAAACACTGACGAAAAGTCGCACACACACACACACACACACACACACACAGGAACACAGAAACACAGAAACAGAGAAAATAGTTAAAGAATGTCATCACCTGACCTAGTTATCATCAACGTGGCTCCTCCTGGGTATACATATAAAGGATATAATACCCCACCAAAGACTGCAGCTATGTGTACACCATATGTGCAAGGCAATCAGTATGGGAATGGAATGAAATTAATAAATAAAACTTACATTAGACGGAATGAGTGATTGCCTTCAGAAAAGTCCAAGGAGTAGAAAGCTGTAACAAAGGACTCTTAGTTTAAAGGCAAAACCAACAGTTTTTTATTGCATTATTTTCTATAAATTGTTTATCGAAAAAGGGTCAAATATTTCCATATTCAGGTAATTTAAATGAGCCGCAAGCGTAAGTCCTTTAATGTGGATGTTGAGAGGTCCTTGGTGGCTTGGCGAAGACATTTCACGCTACATAAATCAAAGCTCGAAACTATCCGGAGTCGAGGCCCAAAGGGTAAGACTCACTTAACGTAATCTATTTTGTGGCATTTTATAAATGAGCAAAGTTAAGCGAGCGGCTACAAATCTGTATATTTATTCATGTAATTTGTGTGTGTGTGTTGGCTCCTTGCAGTAATTTGAATGATACCAGGTCCCTCGAAAGGGGAGCATCCTTGGGGGAGCATCTGCAACATCAACAACATCAACAACATCAAGTGCTGGATAAACTTTTCGCTTTCGCCAGCCAACAACCGAGAACGGAGAACGGAGAACGGAGAACGCCTAGCAGCTGCGTTTTTGTTAGAATAAAATGAAGGTTTCTGATTTCTATCAAGCACATTCTGCAAGTCACGTCAGCCCGTGCAAAGGATGAGGCGTCCAAGAGTACTATATAGGGCATCATCATCAGCATCAAACGCGGCCCAGACCCAGACCCAGTCCCGGACCAGGACCCAGTCGTCGCATCCCCATATTCGTCTCCAGACGACGACGGGCCTAAGTCTCATCCGGCTGCTCGCCGTTGTCTCGGTAATTGGATCGCAGTTTCATTCTGCTCTGGGTAAGTGCTCGAGAAATTGTTTTAAATATTATTATTACAGCGAAAAGCGCAAATAATCCACTGAGAAGATGGCTTTTATTTACTTAGCCAATGCCAAGCAGAAAGCCTCGCCTCCATTTCAAATTAAAGTCTCATAAAACACAGCCACTCCCTCAATGGAACAGTAACCGAGTATCGTATCATTGTAGCCATAGTCCTGGGGCCTATTCAAAATCTCTATCCCAGTGCACCAATCTCTACCACCAACTGCATCCATCCTCCATTAGTAGCTTAGATATGCGACCGCCTATCGTATCGTATAGCCACAGGCAGGCGCTCCACAGATAACGTGATTAATGGGCCTGTCCGCACCGCCCGTCCCGTCCAAATTTGGCAAAGTGGTGCCGAATTAAAGCCCATATCTTATTCAAGAGCTTAGCCTATTTGTAAATTAAATATTAACAATCGATGTAATTAAATTTCGCGCACTTCGATTACATATGCAGGATACAGGGCGCTCTAGTACCCTCGATTCCCTACACTCGGCAGGCGATGATTATTTTAGCAAATTCTCTGGGCATACATATGTAAATGTATACTGGGTATTTGGTGGGGCCATCAGCCAGGTGTCCCGCGTTCTTGACTTGGGCCCCCATTGTGTATTAATTCACATTTTTCTTTTTTACCTGTTTTATTTTTCATCATTTGTATGCCTTGGCTTTGTTAAATGCGTTTCGAAATAATGTTTAATAATTAATCAACTCATCGAAATGTAATTAAGTGTGGCATGTGGTAGTGGCGGTGGCGGTGGCGGTGGCGGTGGCGGTGGCGGTGGCGGTGGCCGTGGCATGATATGTCCACAAGGCTCTTTTCAGTGCCTGGTCAAAAATTCTTTAAAATGGACATGCCAAAAATATTTTGATATTCGCGTAAGAGTACGATTTCATGACATTGAAAATTCAGTGCGGTACCTACGGCTGCTGGCGCGAAAAACCAGCTGTTTCATAAACAGTTGTTTTTCCAGCTCGGAGCAGATCAAAAGATGCAAAAGTTTTTGTGCTATTCGCCAACAGATTTTCATTTCCAATATATGTATGTACATACATATGTGTGATTTTAAAGAGAGTACGAATGCGATTTAGCGACAATTTTAGGAACAAATACTGCGTGTATGTACCCACCCAGTGGTCATGTGGAACCCTTTGCTAAATCAGTATTTCCAATCAGTGAAATTTCGCAGGCTTCGCTGACACTAAGTAGTGTATTGACCAGGCTTTCCCATCTCATCCCCAAACCACACCCACAGGCACTGGCACTGGCACAGCGAGCGTCGAGCCGGCGGCCTCCACCACAGCGAGCACACAGAACAGCAGCAGCGTCGGCAGCAGCGGCAGCCGTCGAGCCGAGAATAATAATTTATTTTTTGATGACCATAATACAACTAAGGCAATATCATCAGCCGCTGTTGGCCCGTCATCAGCAACCAGCACAACCCTTTACGTACCCCAGCCCCGGCCCCAGTCGCAGTCGCAGTCGCAGGGGCAGGCCCAAATGCCATCGAAAACAGCGGACACGCCGCACCCAGCAGCACACTTTGCCGTACCCACAGGACTGAAGCAGGCAGCGTACGCCGTGAAAACACCAGACAGCAGCAATGAGATTAGCCATAGCGCACCAATCAAAAATTTAATTACCAGCCTTGAGCGCCCTGGGACAACAGACGTGCTGCCACCGACAACAGTGGCTGTGGCAGAGGCAGAGGCAACACTGGCAGTAGCAACAACAAAAAGCGCCAGGAGCACCGTTAAGCAACCCATCGACTCCACACGATCCCGGAACCATTGGACAGTGGGAGGTATGTGTGTGTGTGAAGACGTGGCATAGCCCAGATCCGTACACTTACCTTTCACTCTTTTTATACCCGATACTCAAAATGAGTATTGGGGTATATTAGATTTGTGGTAAAAGTGGATGTGTGTAACGTCCAGAAGGAATCGTTTCCGACCCCATAAAGTATATATATTCTTGATCAGCATCAATAGCCGAGTCGATTGAGCCATGTCTGTCTGTCCGTCCGTCCGTCTGTCCGTCCCCTTCATGCTCAAAGACTATAAGAGCTAGAGCAACGATGTTTTGGATCCAGACTTCTGTGATATGTCACTGCTACAAAAATATTTCAAAACTTTGCCCCGCCCACTTCCGCCCGCACAAAGGGCGAAAATCTGTGGCATCCACAATTTCGACGATACGAGAAAACCAACAACGCAGAATCGTAGAGAATGACCATATCTTTTAGACTGCAGAATCTGAACTGGATCGTATTATTATTATAGCCAGTATCAAGAAAACAATTTCATTTTTTCTCGCCCTGTCTCTCTCTAACACACAGGTAGCATAGGCGGATTTGCTTAGAGTAAAACATTAGCGCCTAGATCTCAGAGACTATAAAAGCTAGAGCAACCAAATTTGGTATCCACACTCCTAATATATCGGACCGAGACGAGTTTGTTTCAAAATTTCGCCACACCCCCTTCCGCCCCCGCAAAGGATGCAAATCTGGGGATATTCACAAATCTCAGAGACTATTAAAGCTAGAGTAACCAAATTTGGTATCCGCACTTCTGTTACATCTCACTATAAAACCTTTATCTCAAAATTTCGCCCCACCCCCTTCCGCCCACACAAAGGACGAAAATCTGTTGCATCCACAATATTGCAGATTTGAGAAAACTAAAAACGCAGAATCATAGATAACAACCATATCTATCAGATTGCTGAATCTGGATCAGATCAGATAATTTTTATAGCCAAAGGAAACAAATCAATTTGCAGTGGCTACGCAGCGCGTGACGTCACGCTCAGACTGATTTTCTGTCTCTCTCGCACGCACTCTTTGTCGTGTCGTTTAATATTAGCGGCGTCTGCCGGAGGAGAGCCATACTGACTTAGTATCGGGTATAACTGTAGAGTTGCGGTGTCCGCAGCAACTCACAACGTTCCCCCTCGTTTTTTGTTTGTTTGTAGGCTCCGCTGGCCATGAGACGGAGAGGCCACGCACCTTTCGCAGCAAGCACCATCATGAGCACCACTGGGGGCCCTTTTTCGAGGAACCAATCAGCTCGGTGGCCGCCGGGGAGAGCCTCGTCTCCGCCGTGCACCTGTTCACCGAGGCGGTGCTCAACTGTCGCGTAGGCATGCTCAAGGACAAGACGGTAAGTCGACACTCCACAGGCAGCCGGAAAGAATCCCCCAGTTTATGGCGTGTACTACTTCCAGGTTATGTGGGTCAGACGCACCACCGAAAAGGTGTCGCTGCTAACGGTGGGCAATGTCACGTACAGCGGAGATCCGCGGATTCGCGTCAAGTTCCAGTACCCGAACAACTGGCGATTGCTGATAAATCCCACACAGCGGGAAGATGCCGGTATCTACATGTGTCAGGTATCCACCCATCCGCCGCGGGTGTTTACCACCAACCTAACCGTTTTGGGTAAGAGCATGACATATGGCTATATGTCTTCTTTCGTGAAACGGAATGAATGTGTTGTGTGTTTGCAGAGCCCCCTTTAAGGATAATTGATGAGCATGAACGGGATGTGGGCGACCGATACTACAAGTCGGGGAGTACCGTGGATCTGCAATGCCAAATATCGCGCAACTTTTTCCAAAAGGAACGATACAACATACTCAAGTCGAGCGATCATCCAGCCACACCCAAAGTACTCTCGAACGAGACGGCCGATGAACTAAATCTGATCGGTGACACAAACCAAACTCAACTGAAACTAACCAGCCAGGAGCTGGAGAAATACTTTACAAAGTTTATTACATGGGCCAAGGACGAAGAACCACTCCAACCACTGACCAATAAACGCTCAAGGTGCGTCGAACCATGCGTTATCCCAACATTGTATCCTATCCATGCATATTTCCGTATTTTCAGCGTATCTGAAAAATGGCTAACTAGTCGCATCTCCATTGAAGATGCAAAGATCTCTGATAGTGGAAACTATTCCTGTTCCCTTGGCAGACTATTTACTGTAATTGTCCAGGTACAAGTTCTTACAGGTAAGCACTCTCTATCCCAGTCTCTTTTGGTACAGTCACGAATGAAGTATGTATATATACCATATGTGTTGTATCTTTTTAGGGGAATTACCCGCTGCTGTCCAACACAACTTGGCGCCCAGATCCGAAGGCTTTTGGTGTCTCCTTCTAATGCCATTTGCTTTCCACTTCGTACTTCGTAGACGACATCTTGACACTAGTATGACGAGTGCTTAAGATAACGAGAATCAGACATTGATTGGATTTCCACACACCGTTTACCTAGTAAATAATGTATGTAATACTTTCGGATAACTTTCGTGTGTGTAAAACAGTAACAGTAACTGGCTACTTGTCCAAACCCATATTCATATAAACAATAGGATTTTATATATCAATTTACATGGCATTACACTTATGTCAGGATCTCTCTTTCGGCCTTCGCGTTCTTCTCCTTTACAAAACAAGATTAGGAAGAACTTGATGTGAAGTCTGTATATCAGTTTCCCCTCCCAACACCCAACACCCCTTGCCACACCTTATCATATATTGTACTTCGAATGTGTTAGCTTTATTTAAAGTAAAACCAAAAAATGAAGAAAGTACAGCCTTTAGGTATGCAATTTTGTACAAATTCAGTGAGCTTAAGAAGGATTTATTTTGTTTTGTTCTTGTGATGTTTTCTCTTAGTTATGAATCATACAACAAATTTAACGATGTGATTTCGTTCAGTAATTATGTAAATACATATTGTAAAATTGGTAAGGTTAAATGCATGATTTACAAATGTTATCCTTATACGGTTTGATTATTGTTCTCCTTTCACAAATCATGTTGATTATGTATAGTTAAATCCTTGTAATTAATCGGGAGGCATTCTACCAGGATCTCCAAAACAAAGAAATATTGTTAAACTGAAGTCATTGTGTAATTAATTATTATTGAATGAGTAAATCAAAATACTTTCAAATATACGAACCATTAATATAAATTATCGTACGCCGAACACTGTTGTACTCTTCTTTAATCCTGTGCCGCGGAATGATCATCATTCTGCACGATTGTCCAACCGAACCCTATGCTATGTAGATCTTCTGTATTAACCATAATTACCATGGCAACAACCAAGCAGCGCCTCAATTTGTTGCCCCTTTTCTTTATCCATTTTGGTCCCTATTCTAACGTTCAATGTAATAACTCTTATACGATGTCTGCTCACGAAAGCCACCGCGGAGCAGTGTGTGAGGGTGAGGATCGGTTGAGTTCAATTGAAGGTTGTAACGACCCATAACTGGGACCCACATTTCGAAACCCAGGTCAATGCGGCGAAGTCAGCATGCGTGTGGAGGTGCCGCTGAAGACATTCAAGGTAATTCTCGGCTATTTTTATTCGGGCACTCTGGCCATATCCACACTTAACGTTGATGAAGTCTTCGAAGTGCTCGAATTGGGCAACTTGTATATATTGCCAGAAGTCGAATTGGCCCTAGCCAAACGTCTGCAGAATAATCTGTCCATCAGCAACACGTGCATGATCCTGGATACAGCTCGCAAATTCAATCATGCAGAGCTGACCATGAAATGCCTCAAGTTCATGGACAAAAATGCACACCAAGTTCTGAAACACCAGTCCTTCCAAATGTTGTCCAAGGAATCACTGGAAGAAGTCCTGCGACGGGACACATTGATTGAACACGAAATCGATGTCTTTAAAGCGGTAGTCAAATGGAGTCGCCACAATCAGGGCGTGGACATCAAGTCGGTGGTCTCGCTTGTACGTCTCTCTCTCATTAGTGTCGAAGACCTGGTGCTTGTGGTGCGTCCCTCTGGGATCGTCGAGTCCTTAAAAATACTCGACGCCATCGAGAAACCGATAATCAAGTCGATATTGCCCTACCGTGCCCACGTCTCTCCAGGAGTGGATGTGGCCTTCCATTTCGGGTGCAGTGTTGAGGTCATCAAAGATGAGATCGTTATAAAGCTGAGCTTCTGGTGCATAATCAATATCATCTCTATCGAAGTTATTCAAAATACCAATGACACGTCCAACTGCACCGTGGAGGTCTCTTGCGACATGACCCACTGGGATGGCGTGGGAAATATAGATTTATCTACTCCCACACAGCAGGATATCCACTTCACCCGCATGCCTGTTCGCTTCATTCGGATCGTCGATCCAGAGAGTGGCCGCAAAGATGTTTTAAATTATTGTCTGCTCAAGGCCGTTCTAAATAACACCATTCCCTAGACGATCGATCGACTTGGAAACTGTTTAACAGTAGCGATGACTTAGTGAGAGTCTGAAGACTTGTTCCTTTTCTTTTTCCTATGAATGGATTATTTTTATTTGTACTTGCATTCATTAATTTCTTCTATTTGATTCAATTCTTATAACCAATAAAATAAATATTAATTTAGTCTTGTTCAATTTCCAAGAAAGAACTTGTTTTTTTTTTTGTCAGTGAAAGTGCGAAAAGAAACACTCTAGGCCAAGTCCCAGGGCAACTGGCATTGTAGCATTCGCAAGGAAAAAACTATTTTTTCAGCGCAAATTAATTTTTTATTACATCTTTATACTTTAATTTATTATTACATAATATAATACAATCTACGCGATCTACAATATACAATATATATATACATTTATGTATATACACAATGTACAGTATATTCTGACAAATCTGACAAAATTTTTACGCTGCATTTCTGAAAATCTGATGGACACCAAGGAACCGTCAGCGGAGCACCGACTGGAGACACGTTTCTGTCCCCACACACCAACCCCCCCGGGGAAAGAAGCCGGACGTCAAAGCAAAAATAAACCCACACGAATCAATGTCACACACCTTCATCCACCCACATCACACCCAACCCACGCATGTATACCCTCATTCATAACACATCACATAACATCACCACATTTCACACATCTACACCCGTCCGACCCACAATTAAACAACATATCACGATCATATAAAAAAAAACACCACGATTAAACGTAAACATCAGCGAGCGTCAGGAAGCAACAACTTCTATCAAAGGGGGCTGCCAATTCGGCCGAAATAGGGTTTATTTTTTTTTGTTAGTATTTTTTTGGTGTTAGTATTTGTTTCCGTTATATAAACCTAGATTATGAATTGATGTTCAAGAAGATGAGTAAGAAAATATAATGGATATAAAAATGAAAATTTGAAAAGAGTCATGAGTGAATAGAGAACGGTAGTTGGGTGGGACGAGAGCGAGAAGAAGAGGGGGACCCTGAATATGAAAAGGGAGCGCTCATGGAAGGTGGCGCTCATGGAAGGGTGGGACCCTGCTAGGGATAACGAAACCAACTATCCCCGCTGACGAAAGTGCCAACGAAGACGAGTCTGTCTTATAAATTAGATTTGTTTTTTTTTGTATGTTTTTTTTTGTTTTTGTTTTGTTCAATCCGTCCCCTGACATATCGGGTCGGAAACACCCCTGACTTCCCCGTGAGCTAGCTGGGAACGATAGGCCAGGGTGGAAAAGAGGCGGATCATAACAAATCATACATCATATATAATGGAATATTTCATAAATTTAAAGACCTATTTACAGCATATTTGGATAATGTATATATATACATATATATCGGTATATTTTGTATAGGATTTTGAATATACTAATACATTCTAATCTTTTCCAGTATTTTTCCAACAACAGTGCACACTTCCTCGTCAGGTGTCTCTGTTGATAATTAAGAAATATGTAGTTATCATGTAGCAAATGTGTACTTACCGTGTAGTTACCATGTAAAAACATTAATTTAGTGGACATTTTTGTTGACCTTTTAGCTTAGACTTTATTTTATAATCAATCAAATTGAAGGAAGTACTTAAAATAAGCCAGTCATCTAGGAAATCGACTCATTAATCGGATAAAATTATGTGCTTAGATGTGAAAGTTCCAGCTAGCTAATAATATTCAACTGAATATCAAAATCGAGGAATATGGTGGTATATAATTTATCAGTACATTTACGGTATATTTTGAAAATGAGACGATATTTCAGTATATTTTTGAGGGTCAGAAATAATAATTTATAGGCCCACAATTTTTTTTATTTTCTTTTAAAGTTAACGTTTGTTCCTAGATAGTAGTTTGATTTACGAAAAATACCGCAACAATACAACAAGTGGGTTTCTAATGTGCAACAGATATCCCCTGCGCTGCCTCCCTTCGACCTTGGGGGACCTGATAAAGCTCAAATTGCAATCACATTAACTATGGAAATAATCCGTCAATACGACACAGAGCACAGATAAATTCCACCGGTCACACGGGGACAGGGACAGGAGGATAACTCGCAACACGACACCCCATCTATATTATCGATGGGAAAAGGCAATTGCTGTCGCACTTGTTAGCTCGGTCTGACTCTGACTTCACCTTGACTAAAGTACACACGACGCGGCAGAGGAGGCAGTGCGCAAAAAAAAACATATTAATGATAACAGCAGCACAAATAATATGCAACTGATTTCCCACAGCTTTCATATCACAATCAACGCTTGCATCGCTGCATAATTCGGCCAAACCAAATCGAAAATGTTGAAGCTACGTAACATTCTGAGTGTCGGCAATAGCAATGGCCTGTCCGCTGTCCGGTAAGAAATATGAAATAATAAATAGCACGTCCAAACATACGCAGCTGTATATGTACATACATATGTACATAAATATGTATGCATGCTCGTACATTCGTCGAAAGGTGCATTGATATTTATTTAAAAGTAGAATATCAAATAGCACTCATTTCTTAGTACTCTAAGGAGTAAAATAGCCAGACATATGTATGCACACAGACGCGTAAAGGAAAAACTCTGGTGGGCGGACACCCTTAATGATGTCCGCCCAAGTGATAAATATACATACATATGCATAAATTCCAAAGATTTCTTTATAGTATAAAAATAATTAATTTGTATCGGCCTATTTTATATCTAAGGTATAATTCCGCTCATGGGAAATGTATTCCAGAAGAGCGGAAGGAAATATAATATATAATATGTATTACTCACAGATCATTTGAATGCCATATCTATTTAAAAAAAAAATATCTTGTGAATCCAATTAAAATACAATCTTTACTGAAGCCATCCCTATTCTTTCATGAATATCGGAATATATGAAAGATAAGATTGGGAATACAAAGACTTTTTCTTTTATAATATCTGCTGGTGAACCCTAGTCATTCATTTCTTACCAATAAAATGATCAAAGTTCTCTCTCTGATTGAGTTTTGGGCTTGCTAATCGGATTAATATTGTCAATTTTGTACTTTTAGATGGATTTCGACCACTGCCAACTGCAGGGAATCAGATTCATGGTTCTCGAAGTTACTTGTCCGGAAAATCGAACCAACCAAAGAGTCGCACAGCCGCATGCTGAGCGACAAGGAAATAATATATGCATTGCATACACATAATGTACGACCCGACTCGATGAGCGCCTATCTTAATAACTAGTGAGTGGAGTGGCATATTCCAGCTAACAATTTTTAACAGTTGACCCAGTAGCAAGTACGTTTCATTGGGCTAATCCAAAGGTTTCCCCGTTCCTCCACAAAAAATACTTATATTCATTATCAAATCTTTGGGTTCTTAAAAACGTTTTTGATTGGTTGGTGACCTTTATGAATTGTCTCACAAACTGTCTTGAATACTTCCATTTCCTTTTAGCAAAACAACCGTGTCTTTGATGAACGATAAAAAGGCAAATCTGTCTTGCAATTTGGTGGCGTCATGGAGCGTGCAGGTGGGCGACATGGACCAGTGCTTGCATTTATGGAAATACACGGGTGGCTTCGAGAAAATCGATCAGGCCAAAGAGGATCTGTGGAACGATCCAGAGTACCTGAGTCTAATGCAGGAGCGTTCCAAATTTCTGCGCTCTCGGCACCTTCAATATCTGTTGGCCTTCAGCTACTGGCCGCAGATTGCCAGCCGTTCCGGCAAGAACATCTACGAAATGCGGTACAAAATCCATTCAAAATCATATATGAAACGATAAATTATCCTATATCCTCTACATATATTGCAGATCATATCGACTGACGCCTGGCACCATGATTGAATGGGGAAACAACTGGGCTCGTGCCATCAACTATCGCAAGCACAACAACGAAGCCTTTGCTGGGTTCTTCTCGCAGATCGGCCGACTTTACAATGTCCATCACATCTGGTGTATGTAAAACTATATAGTACATATATGTATTCCTTAGAACAGTTGAAGAACAATTCCCAATTCTACTACTTGCACAGGCTACAGCTCGCTGCAGGACCGCAAGGAGACCAGAGAGGCCGCATGGCGTTCCCCTGGCTGGGACGAGTGTGTAGCCTACACTGTGCCGTTGATTCGAGACATGCATTGCCGCGTCCTCGCTCCCACTGAGTTCTCGCCCACACAATAAGCATGGACCAACTGAATCCGTATCGTATCTGAGAACGAAGGGCTATACGTGTAATGTAATGCCGCTTCCGCTCGTGTTAGTCGTTGTACATAATGCCGTCATACATATACATATACACATATGTATGTATGTATATATGCATTAATTTTAGTTTTCTCTAGTATCAAATAAGGTCAAAAAGTGTGCATTTTACTCTAAAGAAAGGAACTATCCTGTATGTGTGGTGCCCCCACATACAAAATCTTGAATTTAACCAAAAATGAAAAAAAAAAAATTTCGTTTTGTAAAATTTTAAAACAATAATAAAAGTGCTATAAAAGTGTATATTGTGAAACAAGCAAAAGCGTAAAATATTTTTGCATTTATTTATAAAATTGTTTGCACCACTTATCCGTAAATTAAAATGTATCTGCATCTGAACGAGCATGTTCTCCACTTCGATGATGTGATATGAATATGAATAGATTCTCAGCGCTTGGGAGAAGTGTGGGTTATAGGAATGATAGTCGTGAAAACATGTGCATTAGACTTCTAAATTCGATTGGCCCACATAAGTTTTGGGCCGTCTACTTTCATCTAGTTTCGTTTAAAGATAAAGCCTTCAGGGCCTGGATATTTTCAGCCAAATCTCATCCTGGGATAAAACACGAACTTTACAGCATAATAACAATTTTTACAAGATTTATTGAGTGTTTTGTCGGTATCATATCGTATCCCTTCCGCTTTGGGGTTTCACCATAGATGATAAAAAAAAAAGAATTGTTTTCGCTAAACTAAATGCTGTTTTACATGCTGTAATAATGTGTATAGCAATACACACTGGGAATGCAGTCTAATGCAGACAAAATAAAGTTAATTTTATGGGCAATGGGAGACGGACCAATCTTTTCCATCTATGTATTCGAAGATTGTATTGCCATACAAAATGTTGCTTAAATAATGAGATCGTTAAATTATTGACTAGACTGTTCAGCATGCTGACGTACTGTCTTCAAGTGCTTCTTGCCACACAGATGCTGTTGCAAGGTGGTCGCATGGTTCATGAGCTTCTTGCAGAGTTCGCAGTAGTAGCCGCCGGTCGGTGTGCGGTACATGGATTGATCCGCAGCCGACAACTCCTCACCAAGACTGGCCGCAATCGATCCTTCGGACGGGACTGAGTCCATCTCTATGTCCGGCTCCATACTCACTTTGCGTAGATTCTTCTGGTGCTTCACTCCCTTGACGTGCATTTCCATTTGCCCCGAAGATGTTACCTTAATTTGGCACAGACTACATTCCTTTTTACTGCTAGCCTCAGCGTGCTCTTCGACTGTCGCTGGACGATTTGCTTGATTGAGTGTTAGAGCTTCGGGCTGGGGGCAATCCTCGGGCAGCTCTGAACGCGTTGCGTCGGCCAGGAAGGACAAGTCCTTGAGCTTTGTTTCGGGTGTGTGCACGTGCACAAAATCCCCGGAGGTGTCGCAATAGCTAGCTCCCGAGGTCCGCGAGAACTTCGACTCTACCAGTTTGTGCTTGCGGCCCCCGTAGTGCTGACGGGCGTGGGATGCAGAGCTCAAGGACAGGTCGCAGACTTTGCAGTGGTAGGCCGTCGTGCCAATCCGACCGGGTGTCATTTGAAAGCCACGCTCCGGGTAGGTCTTGGTGATCCATGCGGCAACTTGGCGATCGTGCCCCCTGGAGTAGTAGTGGTCCTCGGCGCTCTTGCACGATGTCATCGTCGCCTTGCACAGCTCGCAGCGCATCGGCTTGATGAGGACGTTCAGCTCGTCGGGGTAGCCCGCATGGCGACCCAGAAAGTAGCTCATTTCGGTCCCATCTACATCCATAGCATTTTCATTGGCAGGCGGCTCGCCGGCAGAATGTTTGCGCTTCCTTGGACGCGCTGTGGCGGCGGCTCCTGGACCAGGGACCAGAACACCTGCAAGGGCCATTTCCTGGTCCCCGGGCGCAACAACTTGATTATTGCTTCCAAACCATGCCATGAGTGAGTGTCGGAGAATTGTCCACGGACTCTACTTGCGATGCGTTTATCGCCACTTGTGGTATTTCTTCATTGAAACTCGAATTATTCAGGACAAATCAAACATAAATAGACAATTAGAGATGTCAATGATATATCGTCTGCAGGTATCGACAACACATGGAAAATCGCGTTGACTTTTTAAACAGTGCAATGAAAAATGCAGAAGATACCTTTTATTGCTTATTTTTATTATGCCATACATATGTATATATTATATACAGCAAGATTGTGTGACGTCACAACCATTTGCTAGAACCCATCCGTGTGGTACCCACACCAACACAAACATTCATTGAATTATGCAAGCAGTGCACAGGGGGTGTGGGTGTCCCAGACCCGGGGCACTGCTTTAGAACATCCCTGCCAAAACACAGAATATTTCTTCTTCATCTCATTACAAGAATTTATTGTAAAAAAAAAACAGAATCTCGAGCCATTTTAGTTGTCGGGCAATGAACGGATGATGTCCGAATCTCCAGGATCGGTAATGGACAAGGTGCACACGCGGAAGTATTTACCGCAAGCAGTGCCCAGCTCAATGTTAGTGCCGCTGTAGTGCTGGACCTCAGTCTTGGCCAACATGGCGTAGTACTCAATCTCGGATTTCCTGCAAAGGCACAAACCATAATCTATTAGTAAGCAATACACAACTCTAGCACCCCAATCCGAGAGTCAATACAATCAGAAAGAGTCTCTAGTAATAAAAAGATTCGTCAGGGCAGTCGGAATTACAGAATCATCACAGTGCGTGTGTATGTACACATTTGATAAAATACACGTTCAGTCTTACCCCAAGCAGCCGCAACATGTGCGTGTCGTTAGTGGAAACCACGTGGAGGGGCAGGCAAGGCAGAGCCAACAAAAACAGTCGCCCTGCCTCTGCCCTGCCGCTTGCGCTGTTTGAGATGATATATACTACTCCATAGTTTCCATCAATTTCTTTTTGATTGGAATCATATTTCTCAGTCAGCATTAAGCAAGACTCCATATGGTTCCAAGAACAGCAACGCGTTGCTGTTCATACATACTTGGGTGCAATGGAAATCTACTTCTCGGTAGCATTCTCACCTCAGGGCGGGCGTGTTGCTGGCAATGAGAACCAGCTTGGCCTTGCCTTGACGCAGAGTCTTCAGCGTCTGCTTGTAGCCCAGGCAGTATTTGCCAGACTTCATCACCAGCGCCAAACGCGCATTGGTGCTCTCCAGCGCCTTTTTCTAGAAACATAAATGCAGCGATCAGCACACATGTTCGAGATCATGCTCACTATTTGTCATATTTACCTGTTTCTTTGGGGCAACCATTTTGAATATTTAAATCAAAGTAGCGACTGAGGAAAAATTAATTTTTAGTTATTTTCAAACGAGCACGCATTTTGGAGCAAACCTACCTTCGTCGGCTGACAGTGTGAAAAGAAGGAGGCAGACGACGGAAAGAGGCAGAATCCGGAAACGCGGACTTATCGATTAAATATACCGTGCAACCCTCAGAAATATACCAAAATATACCGTCCAATTTTAAAAATATACCGTAAATATGCTGACGAACTCATGTTATATTATACATATTCCTCAGTTTTGATATTCCGTCGAATATTATTAGCTAGATAGAACATTTTACCACGCCCCCATAATTTAATACAATTAATAAAACTAATAATACTTAATAAAACTAGTTTGGCAGAGATGCGTTTGTCTTGTGATCGGTACTTTACACCCATCGCTTATTCGATGTTTGACAAAGAACCATCGATGACATCGTTGCTACCATCGATATTTGTCCAGCTGTGGAGCACATTGAATTTTTTTGTAAACAAAAATAATAATCTAAACGGCATGCATCGCAGAAAAACCGCAAAGTCAATAAATAGACCACCCCCAATTCAGGGCCCAGCAAAGAAGCCGGTGGCTGCGGCGTCGGCTGCAACGGCCCCGGCATTTGACGGCGAGAGCGCCATTCAATTCGAGCTGGAGCTCTGCTGGTGTGTTCAACAGCTGCAGTTAGCTCTGGACGGCGGAAAACTGAGCCAAAAAGTTGGTAAGTCGGTCTCATAAACACACTGCGAAAATATTTATGTATATGGATCTGTGCTAACATTCTCTTGAAATCAACAATCATAGCCGAAGATACTGCCAAGAACCTTAAGATTCTGACAAGCCAAACGGCGCCGCTCATCAAGAAGCGTCAGGTAATGAAGCTCTCCATGGGGGATTACCGATCCAAAATGCAACAGGAGGAAAGAAAAATGATGCTAGGTGAGGAACCCATAGAAATAAATTATTATGACCTGAAACCGTCTGAGATTGGTATTCATCCACAACCTGCTGCAATTGTGTGTCTGTCTATGGATCAGTCTTACATTGTTTGTCACCAAAAGATGTTAATTTAAGCAACAGTATGGCCCACAATTTACAATTTTACACAATGTGCACAACAGCACAGTTTCGTTCTGTTCCACAATGCTGTTGCCTCTCTTTCTGATCTGTGTAGCGCTCATTTCGATGGAAATACATTTTATTTAACGACTTTACACCTGCATAAGCTATATATAACTCATCTCTCTGTATTACAGCTTCCAGGCAAATAAAATTCACACCCTCCGCTGATACAAACAAAAAGTCCAGCTTTGTGAAGAAGTCGGCGCTTCTGACATCTGGAAAGGACTTTCGCTTTGAATTTGCCCTGCCCACCGCCGCCAGTACCAATGAGAATGTACCAGAGCCCGCCCAGGAGACAGCATCGCATCCACAGTCGTCTGATTTGCCGTCGCTTCGCAGCAGCCTGCGGCAAGAGAGCACGGCGAGTCAATTTAAATTCAACTTTACCATCGAGGATGACCATGCGAACGACATTAACTTTAGCGGCCTAAGACTGAACGGCTGATTGAAATTTGAATAAACTGATTACCAATATGCCTGAGAGTACAGATTGACAAGTCTTCGATTCTAGAATAGGTTTAATTTTTGGGCAATGCTGAAAATGTAATCTTATACATTGTATAAACAATACAGGCCCAAAGAACCCGCCGAAGCTAGCTCAGAGCCATGAAATTATACATGGAGGTAGATTCCCGCCGTGCACTGTCTTCTCAGCTCAATACGACAGCAGCAGAAAGGAGCGAAGAGTATAGAAAACAAAACAAAGCATCTATACTATCTCTTTATCTTTCTTCTCTCTCGCATCAAAGCGTCTCAGACAGCTGAGCGTGAAATAGAACCGAAATAGAGGGAATCCACCACCTTGCAAGACAAGTATGTTGAAATCATACAAGTGGTGGTATATTCGCTCAATGCGCTCTCTTTCTGGGTCTTAATGTGTGTTCAATTTAAGAGTATGAGTATGAGCCGAAAGAGAGAGAACGAATAATACCAGAAAAGAGAACGCGTTTCGGGAGCGGACCACCTTTTTTGATTCTATCATGTGGTATCATCTTATATAACTGCATCATGTGTGTGTGTGAGTGATGAACGCGACCCGATATAGGGCGAATTCACCACATTGTACATACATATGATTTCATCGCGACAACAAGGTGGTGTGCTCATTCCCACAACGCGCTCTCTTTTCGGGACTTATTTCGCTCAGTTTTCGTTGTGTGTTCCGTGCGAGTGGAGCGCGGACGTCGGAAAAATGCCACAAGTTTGCAAAATTTGCCGCTCGAATTCGGGCCGCCTGATTTGCGTGCCGAAAGACGCAAAAAAAAGACAACTATGGATAAATGCAATGCAAGTTAAATTGGATGAGAGCAATAAAATTTGCGAGAATCATTTTAATGAAAGCGACTTTCATTATGCGTCCGAGAGCAAGGCAAAGCGGAGACGTTTGCTGCCAAACGCAGTTCCTCATAGAGTGGGATACTTATACACAGAGGAAATACCCTCTGCTGCCGGTCAGAATTTTTGTGATTTTAGCTCGCAAACTGAGTAAGTGCCGCTTGAAAGCTATTGTTCCTTCTATGATAATTTCGAAATGTTGCCCAAATTACAGGAAAGAAGTAATTGAATGCGGAATAGCGATAGAAAACTTGCGGCTAAAATTCAGAATAAAGGAGTTGGAAAAGGAAAATGATCGGCTTGTCAAACGAGTGCAGAGCATGGAAAAGTTGGCAGAGTCACTTAAAAGCATATTCTCCGAAAAGCAAATAAGTAAGATGGAAAATGGACTTACACGGGTGCGCTGGAGCTCCGAAGACATTTCGGCTGGAATTTGTCTAAATGCTGCTGGACCTAGGGCCTACAGGCATCTCCTCAAAAGGGGCTTCCCATTCCCCAGTACCTCCACCCTGCACGAATGGTCGCAAACGGTGGAAATAAGCCCTGGCCCATTAAATTTTATATTTGAACTTATGGAGGCGGAGGTTGACAGGAAGAATGAAGACAAACAGTGCGTGCTGTGCTTCGATGAGTACAACTTTGGACAAAAAGACGAACAAGAGACCAAAAAGTATGTACAGGTGGCCATGGTTCAGGGATTGTGGAAGTCTTGGAAGAATCTCATTTATTACGATTTCGACAAACCTATGACCCTCGACACTCTGCATATGCTCATCAGAAAGCTTCACTCTGCTGAATACCATGTCGTGGCAATGGTCTCCAACATGGGACCCGCAAATTCGAGTTTATGGGCACAGCTGGGAATATCAACAGGTATCTATAAAGAAAGCCATTTTTTTCTGTGAAATACATACATATGTACTTATGTTTCTTGCTTTATTTTAGAAAAAACATGGTTCGAACATCCATCTAATGGACAGATGAAAGTTTTTGTATTTGCCGATGTGCTACACCTGGTAAAGCTAATAAGGAATCAATTCCTAGACTCTGGGCTTGTGATAAAAGGCCATCAAATAACCGCCACGACTATAAGGCAAGCGATGAACCATGCCGCTTCTACGGATTTGGAAATTCTATGGAAACTAACGGAGGACCACTTAAACGTGAAGGCCGCCCACAGGCAAAAGATCAAATTGGCCACTCAGTTGCTCTCCAAGGCGACAGCAAGTGCCATTCGACGCTGCAGTCATCTGGGACTGGAGGTATATAAGGCCTGTGAAACAGCAGACTTCATCGAGCTGATCCACGACTGGGTCGAAATGTTTAATGTCAGACTGCTAGCCGAAAACTCAACTCCGTCCAAGGAATTTGGAAAATCCCTAAATGTGCAGCGTAAAGTGATGAGTGAAATGACTGCCATCATGTCCGCCTTGCTAGTGCCGAACTCCCAGCAGCGACTTCCCTTTCAAAATGGAGTGATTGTCAACAATACCTCGCTGGAGCATTTATTACAATATGTTGGCACAAAAATTGGCAAGGATTACTTGATAACTAGCAGAATATCAGAGGACCCCTTGAAGCACTTTTTCAACGCTCTGAGCTCAAAAGACGCTCACCCAAATCCAAGGGAATTTAAAAATCGACTCCGGAAATACCTATTAAATTATGGTTTGGGTACACCTGCTTGACTTTTTCCATATGAAAAAACATGAATCAACGTTTTTAGTTTCCTCGTCCATGAGGACGTTTTTTTTTTTATAAATGAACTGTTTAAAAAGGTTAGAACCTTTCATATTATTTTTGATTTGCGTCCATAAAATGGTCAAGCTGATCGCAAACGCCTTATAATTGGATTTAAGTCAGGGGCCGGCAAGGCCCTATCTTATGTGCTGCTGCTGCGCTGCATAAATACAAAAACACTTCTTTATTCCATTTTGCCTGCTGTCCACGCACACAAGCGCACAGCAATGTGTGCGTGCCGACCGCAAAATGTTAGACACTTAAGCAATGAAATACAAATACGAAACAATCATTTATTAGGCCGTAAGAAGAACTCAAAAGTTTTGATTTAATACAAGCCACAACAACCATGCCATCTCTTTTCATTTCGCACAAAGCAGCGAAGAGTGGAGAAAACAAAACATCTTCGGTACATCTTTCTCTGTCTTCCAATGGGGTGCAAAATAAGCCGAAAGAGAGCGAATACACGATGGCAGCATGGCTCTGCCAAATCTCACCTTGGTCTGGAAGTTCTGACGTTCGGCTCTCTTCGGGAAGAGCTGATTGCTTGAGGTCGACGAAGAGAGCGCGCGCGGTCGATGCTCTCTTCGTGTCACGCCATGCAACGCATTTTCGTTTTTAAAATATTTTAATTTGTCCACTTTAGCGCAGAATCGGCACGCTTACTCTCTCCCACACACACTCTAACTCGCCAATGTGTGCACTTCGTGGCGGAAGGGAGCGAGAAAACGGTTGGAGATAGACAGTAGCGGAATAAAGAGAGATAGAGAGAGCATGCGGCAATTTCGGTATTAAGCATCGAAAATAGAGGATGAAAAAAAGCTACGCTTTAATAGATGGGATGCCCATAAAAGTAGTAGTTTTTGGGTCGTAGTTCCCTAGGCAAAACTGCAGGTGTCATGTATTCGAATAATACGATAATCTTTATTCTATTAAAGGTAATATGAAAAATACTCAATATGGAAGTTATATTTTTTTACTATACATAATACATATATATTACATTAATTACCTCTATGCTTATGTACACACGTAAGGGGTTCTGTTCTTCTTGAATTGATTGAATACTCGTATATGTGTACTGGGTATAGGATATACATACATACATACACATTTATAGCACTTTAAATTCAATATATTGTTTGTCTGTCTGTCTGTACATCGTTATTGTATTGTGTTCACTGATATGCATTTATTTAATTCGAATTCAATTCTCTTTCCTCCTTGCTGTCAAACGAACGATATTGCAATCATACGAGATATGGCAATCAGTACGATACGATAGCACGATAACTTATTCGAGTTAAAGTTTAAAACATAATTATAGTCGTACATACCATACATACATACATACATATGTGTATATTTAATTTAAATTGTAATTTATTGCACTCTCCAACATACATACATATGTATGTACTTCTATTCAACGAAAGATGACCAATTGCCAAACTTAAATCACAATATTTTCCATGTCCATTGCTTAGTCATAACATAGATATAGTTAGTATATGTACTCGTATATAAGAAACTAGACACTCATTCAAAAATCTCATATCTGGGTACATATTCGTCCGTATCGTATCTTTGGGAATACCTATACGGTACAGCTACGAGTATTTGGATTTGGATTTTATTATGCCGAAACACACATATTGAGCTTAATTTGTGGCGATGATTGTTTTCCCGCCAATTTTCCAGGAATACACATATGCATATACAATCCTATCTTAGAGTCTGGGACCCCACATTAGTCAGTGGCTGTGTGTCTGTGTGGTAGGTAGTAGGTAATGCACATCTAGATTTTTGTTTGGAAAAAAGCGTATCAATTGAACAAGTTACCTAAAAATATACAAAAGTTACATCCAACATTCATAAATGAATTCTTTCCTCTAACTACTTATCCAGATAACGATACTTAATCACCGTATAGACGACCAGTGGGTGTAATGTAATTTCATTTAATTTAGTTTGCTTTGCTTGGGTTCGGGTTTTGCATTTGGGCTGGAAGAGAGTGGAGTTCCTTCCTTTCCCATGTGGAATATTATATAGTAAACATACTCATATATAGAAACATATCTGAGGTATAAAAAGCAGTTTGTTATTATAATTATTATTATGTATTTTGTTAGCTGTTGCGGATCTCTCTTACACAAATATTGATAACACCAATGTTGTTGCGGTTTAGTTTAGTTAGTGAGTTGCTTCCTACTACAATCTTGCCAGATCCGCCCCCTAGATACTATGAGTGTGTCTGTGTCTGTGTGTGTGTGTTTCATATTGTAAAATATAGTGTGTGTACTTGTATATTTGTATTATCTACCATGATGATTCCTTTCCTATACCTATTCCTATTCCTATTCCTATTCCTACTCCAGTTGCTGTTGCTGTTGCTGTTGCTGTTAGGTGTCTTTCAGATACAATCTCATCTGATCTCGACTTAGCTTAAGATTCAAGTTGGTGGACAACGACATCTAAATAGGTATGTTCTCTATCAGTTTCTCTATCGGTATCTGTATCGGTATCTGTGCCTTACATTGGTATCACAATCACAATAGAAAAGTGCCTAAGCAAGCAATCAGTATTCTCTTACACATAAGTACTGTACTATGTATTTTATACAACTTTACCGCCCTCCAACCTACCCAGGCGGAGGGAAAAGAGAGAGAGTTTAGGGCCATATACCTACTCAAACAGCTTATGGCATGTGGGACATTTGTTAACATTATGTATTTTCACTATTTACGAGTATGTACATCGAGAAACAGACATTGCTTTGTATTGTATAATATTGTACATCAAACACATTGAGAATGGAGACATGCTATCATATACTCGTATTGTACATACCGATACATACACACATATATATCTATCTACATATTTATATATATATATATATATATATATAAAAGTAAAAAATTTGTTTCCTTTTCTGTTTTTTTTGATAGTTTTTGAATAGCTCTAATATATCTAAAAAACCGTCCCGTTTCCATGCGCTCATTGTGTTCGGGCGTCAAATGGGACGCGATGTATCTCAGTATGAATGTATGTATCTATGCAGCTATATGACTGTATGTAGGTACTGTACTTAAGCACTACTATGATCAGAATACAAAAGCAAGAAATCCACAATTCGTTGACCCCTGATGTCCATGCGGTGGCTCCCAGTGAACTGTTCTGTCCAGTGTCGCTGGTCCGCACGGATTTGAGGTGTGAGCGAATTGCATTCGAAGCTTATCAATATTCTGACTTTGATTCTGGTTTGATTTTGACTCTTGATCGTGATCACAGTAGCTGTAGTCAGAAGCTTCTTTAAGGTACTTAAATGTTTCATTTAATTTCCGTTTTTCAGTGGTAAGTTTTGAGATACACACATCTGTGGGATGTGTAGGTACATATATATTCGAATACATTTTTTCAAAATGTTTAAAATCTTCCTCCTATCCACCGATTCGTCGCTCTGCATCACTGCCTCCTTCTTCCTTCTTTCTTTTCATTCTCTTCTCAGTTGTAACAAAATGTAAAAAATATTTGCATAAATTACAAATACTACTTAACAAGATCTTCTTATACGTGCATATATCTGTAATATATGCACTAACATTATCTCTAAGGTTTCTACATGTGGGAGAGAGTGTACTTATACACGTATTGTATGTTTTTTCTTGGTTGGTTTCTACTTACACATTAGTCTATATATATATATTTCCATTAAACCATTTTACATACAATATACATTGAGAGGTGTCAGCCATTAAATTCGGGAGAAGGAAAATTATAGACCTATGTATATCTGTTGTATATCCGATGTGATATTTACATCTATAATTTGTTTGTTTATCGTGTTTCGTGCTTCGATTGGGGACTTCATTAATATGGAGGTTAAATAAAAATGCTCATTTGGTTTTTTGGTTTGATTTTCTTGGTTTTTTTTTTCTTGCAACATTTTTCGTTTCGTTTCGGTTTGTTTTTGTTTCTGTTGTTTGTTTGGTTTGTTTGAAAATTAAAGTAAACATTCATACTATAGCACAAGGTATTTTTCACGTAAGCCCATATAAAAAGTATAAAATTTTTTTTTACTTTACTTGATTTATAAAAATTACAAATGTTCATATAAAAATAGATATACATACAATATAAAAAAAATATGAAGTCAAATAGTAATACATACAATGTAACACACAAATGAAAGAGTTGTTTATAGTACTTCTATTTTGTTTTCCCATATGACATGCGCATACCCTTTCCATTCCTTGCCTTGGATAATGCAATTGTTTATGGCTTATATCATCTGGATTGGCTCGAGACAGCAGACAGTTCCGATTGGGGCATTGGGACATTGGGAGAGACTAAAGATGGCTTCGATAACTCGAATGGTTGGGGCCCAATATTCTAGGGATCACTTCCTTCGCATCGTCTCATTCAGTTCGCTAGAATATCCCAACCACTTGCAGTCGGTAGGTTACAGTCGAGGTGAGGGGCACAGACTTTTGTTGGGCATCTGGGTTGACTGATCTTCGGGCTCATTCGAAGTTGATCGGCTCCCAGACGCCCAACGCTTGTGTGGCTTTTAGTATAGGGTCATTCCTGTTCATTTTCACACATCTTCCTGTTGTCGTCGGTCGCATCTTGATATCAAAAATGAGCTTATCTCTTAATCGTTATAACTAATTAAAAACTTAATGTCGAAAGTCATTTAAATATATGCATATATATATATATATATATATATATGTATGTATAACAATTAAAAACAATTTCAGTTGAGAAATTCTATTTGAATTCATTCTATACATATATTGTTGGTTTTTATGTTTTAGAGCAAAGCACGCCTATGGCGGCCCCACCTGTGTCTGTCTCTGTCTCTGTCTCAGTGTTTGTTGTGTGTCCGTGCAGATCCTATACATATATGCAGCTATATATGTATATAGTATATGTATAATCTAGGCATTGTTTGTAGATGAAAGAAACTTCACTTCGAATTTGATAACAAAATATAAATAGTCTATAATATACCTGTCCGTATGGGCGCTAACTAATGAACTTTCTCATAAAATAGGCCCATGCTCAGGTCTGGTTGTCTATCTATGGGTATGTCTGCGGCGACTGGCTGCAAGCGCCTACGAACGAGAGCCATCAAAAATATGAATCTATACACTTTCCTATAAATAGGGGCCATCGTACACAGTCTGATTGAACGGTCTAAGGGTATGTCTATGGGAGTAGGTCTTCTAATGTACCATAGCTTTCATAATTATATACAACACAAACGAGGGGTGTACACAATCCAAAATGTATATAGTAGCTAAACGGATCCTGTTTTTACATTGTTCTCGGAATTTATGTGTGTTTTTTCATTCTTTCATTCTTGTGGCTCAAAATGTTGTAACAATTGGATCGGTATGGTGTCTGGCTTTGTGGGGCCAGTCAGATTCAATATTATCTCTATTATATAACTATGTGGCGGAGCTTTCGTTTAATTCTAATTTCTATTGTTCTGGCTCTTAGATGTCGGTTCTATGGTCTCGGCCCTTGAGTTGGTATGTCTGTTGCTGGTTGTTGTCGGTGCTGTTGGTTATTGTGGCTGGGGCTGAGAGAAGGCCTAGTTGGCCACCAGGAGCTGCTGGTAAGACGATCCAGTGCCGTAGAACGAGTTGATCCCATCAATCAGAGTGCTGGCCGATGAGGATTCGGCTGGCTGCTGCTGCTGCTGACTGACGCTGTCGGGACCGGCTGTGTCTGCAACAGCAGCAGCTGTTTGGTTGGGCACTGCAGCCACTGGTGGCGTGGCAATGGGACTGTTGTCCGGGGAAGAGTCCCCAGCTCCAACTCCAACTCCAACTGTTGCTGCTCCCACTGTTGCTGCCACCTCATCGATGACACACTGCTCTGTCTCCAGGCCATACGAACAGCTCTCGTTGTCCATTTGAACGCCTAGCTGCTGCTGCTGCTGCTGGGACAGATGCTGGCCGTTGGGAAAGTAGCATGCCTCCATGTAAGTACTGTACTTGGCTCCACCCACGGCATTGACATGGGGATGCCCGGCAAACATGGCCATGTTGGCGTCGCCGTTGAAGTGCGGCTCGTAGAGGTTCCGCTGGCCGTTGAACTGCGGATAGAGGCCCATGACCACGCCGGGATAGAAGAAGTGATCGCCGGCTACAGCACCGGAGGCCATTTGGCCGCCCAGAGCCAACGGATTGGGTGAGATCGAGCGTGCCGGTGATACAGGGTCCAGGGCGGCATAGCCCTGGGACGGGACGACCCCATGGCCGTGATGCATCTGCTGCTGTATGGCCCGCTGCTTGATGTAGTTCGAGAACTCTGTGGGCGACATGCGGTACGCGCTGCTGCAAGGGACAAATGTGGTGCGGCATTAGTGGGTGCCCGGTGGCTCAAGGGCAGCGAGACCTTACCTGTTGGCCCGCTTCGAGCTGGTCTTGAGCTTGGTGCTGCCGAATTTCGTTTGGGCAAAGGTGGCGGTCGTGAAGGTTAAAGGCGCCTGTGGTGCACGTTGCAAGTACGCCGAGGTTGTGCCACCGGCCGAAGTGTTGCCGTGAGCTGGTGCCTGAGTCGTGGCCTGAGTCTGACCCTGAGCCGGAACCGGTGCCGAGCCACTGGACGAACCGGAGGCGGAGCCACAGCTGCCGTTGCTGGCATTGGGATTGGGGCTGCCCTTGTAAGTGGGCGACCCAGAGGCAGCCGAGTGCGGCGAGGAGCCCGCCTGGGGCATAGGCACCGGCAACGACTTGGGGCTTAAGCTCAGGTTGGTCAGGGTCGTGTTGACCACATCGATGGGTCGGAAGCATTGCGCCTCCGGATTGAACGTCTTGGTGACCTCGCGATCTGCCGAGCGGCTATCCTCGTGGTTCTCATTGTTCTCTGTATAAAGAATCTGCATCGTAAAAGGGCGGTTAATGGGCGATTCCGTTTCGGGGAAGTCCTAGCGGCGTAACAAATACCTTAACGGCCCCCTTCTCGCCAACGCGAAAAGACACCTCGCCGGGATCCATCCACACGGATAGCTCGTGTGGCAAATTCTCTAAAATATCACTGATGGGCACACCACTCTCCCGCGCAGCACGCTCCAGCACCGAATCGATGGCATCCCCGGTCTTCAGGCAACGATAGGCAGAACCCTGCAATGAATATTCACATATAAGATTCCGTTTCTAAAGATCGTCTCGCACTCCAATGATACCTTGAAAGGCTTCTCCGGGTACCAGTGTCCCTGGAATTTATCGCGCAGTGCCTTCTCCAGCTCCTCGCCGAATATGTTCACACGTCGGCGAGGCAGTTTATTGTACAGATAGGAGATGACAAAGTTTAGGGCCACCTGGATTTCAATATGCATCTTGGCAGTCCTTGGCACCGTACCCTGTCCGCCGTACCCAGATCCTTTCGAAGATTCTTCACTATTTGTTTGTTTTTTGTTCGATTCTGTTCGGTGTGCTTGCCGTGTACGTGTACGAGTACAAGTATATATCTATCTGATTGATCAAACGCACCTTTATGAATATCCTAGCTCAATTTTTGACTGTGAAGTTTCAGGCGATGTGTTGTACTAGATTTAGTAGTTTTCCTATTTTGTGAGTCTATGTAGTTGTTTTAGGGGTGTGGGTTCTATTTATTGTATTTTGTATATTTATCTCAGAGAATTGTGTCTGATGTCTGATGTGTGATGTGTGATGTGTGAGGCGTAGAGTCCTAGATCCTAAGTGTATTGTGTTTTATGTATTTACAGAGCATCTCCCATAAAAAGGGTCGATTGTGTGTAGGTGTGTGTGTGTGTGTAAAGTAATTGCTAATGGCTTTGTCTAAGTCGGTTGCTAGTTAGTTACTCTCCGTCTTTTGCTGTCTTTGATTTTTGACAAACGTTGGTCCGTTTCCCGTGTCTCCTTCCTAGAACGCCTCCATGAGTGGTGGAACGCCTCAGAGCCGTGCGATTCTATGACAAGTCGTTGGTGTCCGTAGCTGCAAGAACGAAAGGAAGGAAGGAAAACGTTTATAGACAATCAATTGACACCGGATGGGTTACCTAATGCGCCTGCTTCCTATTTTATATTAGTAGAAATCACAAAAGGTCCCAGAAATTCAACAACAAAATACACAGTATTTGTCGTCTATGCGTCTGCATGTTCCACGAGGTCGGAGTCTGAGTCACAACAGATCTGGAACAGCCTTTTCTACTCTTTCTACTACCCCTGCTAACATACAAATTTGCATACTATATCTTACAGAATGGGCCCGCCATCATTGGGACTTTATCCCTCATCAGTGATGGATCATTATTATAATGATTCATCCATCATGATTTGCAGAAATGTTACCCTTTCTTGATCCACTATATACATACATATTTCTGTTGGCCTTTATCGATAGTTGACAAGTCGATTAAGTATTAGTAGAGTAAATCGAGAAGAAGAAGATGTTGTCCATTCCCGGAGCATCGTAACAACTCAGTTTTCTTGAGTCACATTTGACACACAGACACAAAAAAACTACAGGAATATACTTTAAAACAATAAAACATAAAAAGACACACCACAGGGAAACACTGAACACAGAGTTGCATTCCATTTGGGGGTTCCAGGATGAAGCGAGCACGCAATGATGCGGAGGCGAGCAACAAGAAGAAGTCGTTGCGCACCCGATTCAGAAAACTGGTGCGGGCGGTGATTATGAACCAGCACTGGCTGATCGATGCCGAGGATCAGGGTCTCTCGATGAACGTCAAGAAGAATGTGGCTCTGCTGGTGCGGCAGAAGAAGAAGCGGGGCATGATCACCGTAGCGGTAAGCTCCACCCACCAACAATCGTAATGCGTGTCACGATTCCCGATAATCGTCTGAAGGACAAGGCGCTGTTGCGCACGCTACCCTGGGCGCGGACAATCGATGATCGGAAAAAGCTCTGTATGGTCTTAGCCGGGCTAACATGTTTCGCCAAGATACCCCCGGTAAGCTCTCAAACTGAGTTTCATCTGACCTATAACTTCACCTACGATCCGTGATCTGTGATCTAGAAAATCAGGGCTCGCATGGTGCCGGTAATAAAGCTATTGTCCATCAATGAGTCGCGAGTGCTGATCAAAGAAGGGGACTTGCCCATTACCGTGTACTTCATACTGAACGGCGAGGTCGAAATGAAAAGATCCGAATACAATAAGGTAGGTTCACGCGCTAGGTCCTTAAGACGGTATAGAATCCCCTTGAATCTTGTTCTGAAGGTCACAAAGGAAATCACTCAAGTATCAATTGCCATATTCGGTCCGGGCGACTGTATCGGAGAAGTGGAAATGGTTGAGGACTGCCCCAGAATGAACACATACACGACGCTGTGTAAGTACTTACTACATAAAAATATGCGAAACGTACTGATCCGATCGTCTATTTGTTGGCTCTTTCGTCTAGCAAATTGTGAAATATTGGCCTTGTTCGATAACGACTACAATCGCATTCTGAGGCCGTTTATGGAGAAGCAGTGGAACGAAAAGAAGGAAGCACTGCGCGCCTTCCCCTACTTTGATTTTTTGAACGAGGATCAGATACGACGCGCCTGCATGTTCGGATCAGTGGTGCAGTACGATCCTCTGGAGACGATCTATGTCGAGGACAAGGGCTCTTTGAACATGGTGCACTTTATTTTGAGCGGCGAATGCGTTGTCCTGCAATGCCTAAACCTCAAGGTGCTATATCCGATATGTGTATCCGTATATCCTCAGTCTTTGATTCTTGCAGATCAATCACAGTAGGGGAAAGACCATTATCGATCTGTCAGATATGGAAAAAGACGAGTCCAAGGCCATGTTTCTGGAAACAAGGAACTCGTCCTATGCTCCAGAACAGTCGTATTTGGATGTTCAGAATTTGTTGGCCTCAACCTCCTCGGAAGAAGAGGGCGAGTCGAAAGGCCTCAGGAAACAAGTATGCGATCTACCTATAGATAGAGGTGTTTCTCTTCTAATTCGAGCTCTGTAGATGCGCAAAATGGGACTAAAGGAAATCGAGGCGTTCTGCGGCTTGGGCCCAGCCAGCTTCCTTGAGAAGCACGGACATCGGAGGAAAACCGTAATGCACGCGAAAAGAATAACCCACAAACCGAGAAGGCCCACCATCGAGTCCGAGGAGATTGAGGACGCCGAAGAGGAGGAGCAGTTTTTCGACTACGAGGACTATTTCGAATACTTCGGCGAGGAGGTATCCGTTGAATCGGAATTCTCCCTTGCCGTGGAATCCTCCAGCTCGGAAACAAAGCGTAAAACCCTCGTCTCCATATCGCCATCGAAGCATGGAACTGACTCCCAGCTCTCTATGAAGCGTACAACAGTTGCCTCCTCTCAATCCTCGAAAAGGTTGGGCACCATAAGGTCCCAATTGCTTTCGCCTAGTCGGTCAGATGCGGCACTTCGCTCTTCGAGGCACGTAAGTCCTCAACGCCAATCACTATCACAATCACTTTTCACTCACTTTCACTTGCCCGTGGGCACAGGACACCACGAGGACCCATTTTATAGACGTCGGCTCGCTCACATTCGGTGCCATCTTTGGCCTGGGCGAAAAGATGGAGCATCGCGTGATAATGGCCCGTACTGTGGTCCAGTGCCTGGTCCTGCCGCGCTTCTGGCTGCTGGAGGAGGAGCAGAATCCGGGTAATATCTGGCAGCGTCGTCGCTTCTACTTCGAGTGCAGTGTGCCCTCGCGGCAGGCCCTGTTCGAAGACTACCTGAAGACCCGGCGCTGGGACAAGTTCCGGCGCGCCTACATTCAGAGCACTCTGGACCCCAACTCGAAGAGCAATGTGACCCAGGAGGAGGACATACCTATTATATGTCGCATTGTGGAGACCAGCGATCATACATAAGGGCTCGGCATCCACCCGCTATTCATGGACTCCAGCTAATGGCTGCATTTCCCATTCTCCAAATTCATGTACAATGAAGTAATACATATGTTTTGACTATATCTGAGTATGTATTCCTGCAACTCCTGCAACAGTTTGGGAGCTACACATATGTACATATATTCTTCCTACGTCATTCGGAGCAGAAGCACTTCCCCTGCAGTGTCCATGCAACTGCCGATTATATGTAGGTTAACTGAAGAGAGGAGTGGACAGAGAGAGAGAGTGAGAGCGAGAGCGTATTACAGTAAGCCGAAGTGCATTCGTAGCGACAACGGGAGCAGGTACCGAGACCGTCCAGTGAGCTTCCCACGCAAAGCTTACACCCTTCCATTTTCTCTCTCTCTCTGTCTCTTGCCCAACGGTGACGGTGCGTGCGGATAAAAATAAACTCAAAGCCGAAGAGAGGGACAGAGCTTGGGTTCTGGCTCTGGCTCTGGCTCTTACTCTCGCGCCGAGCAACGGGTGCGCAATGACATATAAACGACCCCGAGAGGAGCACATTTCACACCCACACACACACTTGATTTATGCTGCTGCTGCTGCTGCTGCAATCTACTGCAGCAGCTGTGTAGCTGCAGCGGGGCAGACCGAGCTCGTTTATGTGCTGCTTAAGTATATATATTCTATACTCGTAGTATATACTACTGGCTGTGTGTCTTTTTTAAACCATCTGAAGGCCACACACATTGAAATCGCCAAGCCTCAAGCCCCGCCACTGGAAGCTTGAGTTTTCCTTTCAAGAGTACATACTCGCATGTATGTACATATATAAATGGGAAATTCTAAAAATAGCCACCTAGCCAATGCAATACATCATCCACAAGGGGAAAAAGGCCATTTTCCAAACGGTATTTCAATGCCGCAGATGCCACGGATGCAGTGGAGAGCTTAAGCTGGGGCACAGCTTGGCGCATTGGGTAAAAGGTCAAAGGTGATGCCTGCAACAACATTTGTTGAACCTCCGGTAATGCGTCAGGTGTTTCGTAAGATTCTGAACAGATTTGCTGACAGGCTGTACTATGGATACTCCCCTCTGTAGAATGATGTTTTTTTTTTAAGTTTTCCAAATTCTTTTGGAATCAAACAAGTGTTTACCAGATAGCTTTTTTTTAATTATCAAAGTCTTGGGGATCTTAAAGACCTAGACTTTAAATACTTTAAAATACCTCTACTAATTTGCGTTTAATGGAGGCTTTAGAATCGCAGGATTTTATTGAAGAATTTTCTTTAATTTGTAAAAATATTCCAACATATTCTAAATGCACTTGCCTTCGACTATGGTACTTGTATGTACATACATATGTACAATTAATCTTGGTTATAAATCACTTTGAGTAGATCTATCCTCCACCATTAAAATCTTCCCCTAACCTGGACTATCCCTGTATGTGGAGGCTGTAGCTGCCTTGGGGAAAACTTTCGAGTTAATTGAATTTCTTCATGAACTAGCAAGGTTAACTAGTTTGGCAGTGCAGACTAACTAGTTGGGGGATTGACGCAAATTAACTGGATTTTCGACGATAACCTTGACATTAGACTAGAGAGCGTGGAGTGGGGAGTGGCCGGGGGCCGGCGGTTAACCCAGTTCGGAGCTAAGATCATTCCATGGCGAAGCACGACTCTTGATGACGTGAAAGGTGCACAAATATTACACATTATGTGTACATGCCGCATGTGCTTGTTCTTGTGCTTGTGCATGTGCATGTGCATGTGCATGTGCCTGAGCATGTGCATGCGATTGTGTGCGTGTGTGTGCTTGCGAAGTGAACTTGAAAAAGCTCTAGTTTCACTTTTACGCTTGTACATAGGACACGCGCTGGCTTTAATGGCCCGAAGGGGAAGCCTCGGAGATAATCCTCAGGTGGGGAGGAGCGCGGACGGACTTCTGGACTCTTGAATGTTTATTTATATTCAAGCACAAACACACACAAGCACCGACACGCGCACAGAGTACACATACACATACATACACAAACAGATATACGGATATACAAGAGCTGCGACAGCGTCATACCGTTTAAATCAACCTTTAAAACTGTTGGCCCAGATTTTATTGATTTTAGCATTGCAAAGGGCGACCCGGGCCTCCATTTACGAGTGCAACAGCGCACGCGACATACAATAGACAGGGGCAGAGTGGGACCAGAGACAGGGACAGAGACAGCGACAGATAGTGTGAAAGAGAGAGCTTCGAGCACGAACCAGAGCCAGAGAGCACCCCCATCAGACAGCTGCTAATGGAGAGAGAGAGAGAGAGAGAGAGAGAGAGTGCCAAATGACCGTTGTTATTGTTATTCCCGTGTTTACGTTCCACATCGTGTGAAATATAGAAATGTTAAACAGTCATACTGCCGCCTCTGGCACATAAATGGGGATTATTACCCATCTGTGCACAGGACATGCTCCTCACGTCTGTATGTACATTACATATGGAGTATGACTCTTAAGTTGGGGTCTAATGGAATCGCAGCTCTTAATGGCGGATTGTGTATCAAGTACAGCTGTACTACCCCTACTTAAGCCCCCCCCATTGGAGCCTTTTAGGCATACATATTGTAAGTTACGAGTATAATTATTATTTATCCTAATTAGCTCTGGATGGCTACCATCTTAATTGAATGGAAGGAAAACATTTAGTAAGTGTTTTGATATAATTTCTAATATTTCTATATGTTTCCCACGGAAGTAAAATGCTGAACAGATCCCTAGGGCTTATTATCAAAACAAAACCAAAATATACTAGGGGGAAGCAGTGCCACGGTGGAAACATGTACCATACGTTCTTATCAAACATCGTTAGTGTAATTTGATAAAAAAAAGTAATGAAAGAGTTATGTACACGATACCGTAAAAGGTCTAGCACTTAATTATCAACAAGCTTTTGAAGCTCCACAGATGTTCCGCCTAAAAAGTCTACCTTCAAAAGGCACGTTCGAGTTGTGCGAAGGAAATTCTAGTTAGGTTTCATTTATAGAAACTTTGACTGAAGGCGGTTTTTTTACATAAATATTTACATATGAATGTAGGTTAAATTTAAACATTTTTTCAAGCTTTAATTTTACTGATAATTTAACGAAAAATAATAAATTTATACTCTTTGGAAGGAACATACATACATATGTGACCATCTGTGTTTATAGCATAGTTTTTGGAGTCTCCTAGGGTCTTATCGATTGAAAGATCAGGCCAAAAGCGGCAAAGCACTTATCGCTGCATTTACCGTTCGCCCATGCTTGTTGTTTTGCCATTAGGCGAATTTAATTCAATTACGTTCAGCCGTCGATTTCGAATGCTACGACGATAATCAGCAGTTAAGGGCATTCGCGATACGGCCAGACGGCAGCCTTCAAATTGCTTGTTTGCACATAATTAGACCCCTCTCTAGCGCTCTCTTTCTCTGTCTTGGCTTACATACACACATACGTAATACGTATGCAAAATGAAGGTGTGTGGTGAGGAGAGGAGAGAGGGGGAGCTCACACAGAGCACAGTGTGTCAATTTATTGCGGTTGTTTGTTTGCTTTTCTCATTTGCGTTGCTTCAATTTTGCTGTGCTCTTTGAAGAGAGTATTACGATTCGCAGCAGATGCTTGGCATCGCACAGAAGGAAGAAAAGCAATTGTGACTAAATCAAGAGAGCAGATGGAATAAACCCATGTGATACCATCTTTTTAGCATCAACAAAATCCAATCCAATGCAAAAACTAATTTGCAAATCAAATTTAACGAAATCGAACAATTCTATAATGACCCTTCGGGATATGCAAGGGTATCTAAAGCTTCAGCATTCCGTCTCTGGCATTCCCCTATTGTTTTCACGTACCGCTGTGTAATCCAGTTCACATGTCCCAAAAAAAAAAAAAACAAAACAAAATTGTTGTTACATCACTGACACTGGGAGGGAGCGAGAGAGAGAGATCAAAGTGCTGACTGCACTTTTAACCGTTTCAAAGCTGGTAATTTTCAACGGAGCAGAGCAGAGCAGAGCAGAACCCTGGGCAATGAGGGGCAAATCAAACGGGTTGCCTGATTACATAAAATTCTATGTTCTCGCTCTGTGTTTGTGTCTCTTGTTTTACTATAAACTTTTGCTTCCTTCCGTTGTACTTCTACACACAAACACACACTCTCACCACACACACACTAATAGTAAATGTGTCTCACACACTTGAAAAGAAACAACAAAATACAAACAATGCTTGCATAATGCTTTTAGGTTTCATAATCCGAAACGAATCAAACGAATCGTTGAAACTCTGGGGCACACATACATAATTCATATTACAAGATCACGAAAAGAAAGACACTAAATAATTTGTACTTAATGTCAGCAACATTTTCCACCGACTAGCCCGAGCGCCAAGGCAGCTTAGCTCTCAATTTCCCCTGCCACCGCTGCTGCTGCTGCTATCCAAAGTATGTCGTATGGAAGGTATGGCATGCCCGTATCCCAGTGTTTTGGTCACTCCCAGCGACAAATGGCAATGGGTCTTATTATGGCGAAAACCATCCAAGAGAAGCGATAAATTCGAGAAATACTCTGAAATAAGTAGTTTCCATATACGAATCAGCTACACCGGCATTGAAATTTATTGGAATTCAACCATTAAGCTGCTGTCAGGGGCGACCCTACCCTACCATCTTTTGACATACCTTGCCTCTATCAGAGAGCGAGTACAGAGAGAGCGCTCGTGCGAGAGCAACACCCACGCATACCAAAGACAGAGTGGAACACACACACACACACACACACGCGTAATACCATTTGGTGGTTCATATATTCGACAGGGCAAAACTTTTGGCTCAAGAAATTGTTTGCTTATAGCAAAACAACACAAAACAGCTGATCGAATGGGTTTGTGTGTGTGTGCGTGGTTGTGTTGAGCGACTTATTGACATTATTTTTTTTTTTCCTTCTTTCTCTACCTTTTAGCCGTTTTTCAGAATTTTTGGGGGAAAATTTCTATTCGACATTGAGACATTCTAAAATTTGTTCATTTTCAAGCACATTTTCAGACACCAGTAAAAAAAAACACACAATCAGCTGTTCATACGGTTTGAACGCAACTCTTTACGTCACAAAAAAAAAAGCACACAAAAATAATGAAAGCACATGATTTTTTCGTACATTTATCTATGCCCGAAAACACAAACACACACTGGCACACTCGTAAGTGGAAACGACAAATAGATTCCCAAACGGAATGTCTATTAGATATATGTATGTACATGCATGTACATATGTACATACATATACACGTGTAAATATTTATATCTATTTTGTTGTATGCTGAAATGTTAAATGACGCTGCTGCTTTTGCTTGCTGGGTTTCTGGGCCTCACTCTGCTCTACATAGAAATGCAAAAACAGCTGCAGTCAATGGGGTTTTTTTTCTGGTTTCTAGCCACTAAATTCCCCTCAAAAACGAATTGTAGATTCTATGTACATGATGTATGCAACGGCAAATGCTTTCCTCTACCCACTCTTCGTTTTTCTTCCTTTTTTTTGCATCCATCAGCTGTCAGCCCAGAGAGTGGGAGGGAGAGAGCATGATGCTGGTCCTCCTGTAGCCCAATTGCGTGTGAGACAGAAACAGCTGTGTCCCCTTTGTGTCTCGCTCTTGGGAGCACAAACTGGAGCAGCACCACACTGCCCTACTGAGTGGCGATAACGAAAACGAAATGAAAACTCACAACACCGAACGATGTGTACTTTCCCCGCACTGAGCATATATTTATGTGTTGATACATACGCATGTACATATGTATGTATATCCATGTACCCCTACTTTTGGCATTTCCATCTCAATTATTGTTATTGCCTTTGTGTGTGTGCGTGTGTGATAGTTCTCCAGCCGTCGCACGTATATACTTACATAGTACATATGTATGAACATATCCGTGCATCTTTTTGATGGTTCAAACGTCTTATCTAAACATTGCAGTTATGTATATGTTCCGAATTCTATTTTGTTGATTGATTGATTGGCTGATTGGGATGCTGCTGCTGCTTGACGACGATGCTGTTGATGGCGATGATGATGAAGCGTAGCACGGGTTGTATAATCCTCGATTTATTCCAATTGCAGCCGCAATTGTTCTTCTGTTCCGTTCTGTAGTTTTTTTCGATTTTGAATGCGGATGTGCTTGTGATTGGGGTGTCTATTTATTTGTTGGTTGTTTGAAATTTGTATGTGGTATTTTTTTTTTCTTTTTGTCAAACGCCTCATCTGCCCGTTACTTAATGGGTATCGCGCGCGCCAACAGCAAAACGCCGTGTGAACGTCCGTGGTTCTTGAAAATCCCGTTGTAGTAAGGTTTGAGGCTCGAGAATGAGAATTGACGCGCGAACGAACCGAACGCCCCAGTCAGCAGCAGCACACACACGAACACTCATCTACATAGGTACGTACAAATATACATACATACATACATACATACGCCAGCGCCGGGCATAATTGCATTCGACACACGACGCACCACGAAGCAGGGTACATATGCTCAAGGTAGGGCATGGCCAGAAAGTGCTCTTATGATAGTGGTTAATATTAGAATTGCCTTAAAAACTTGTATTAAAGAAAAAAGTTTTTCATACAGCTGAGGGCTAAAAGAAGCGATTCAATTAATTTATTACCCTTTGCAGAACGTTGAAAAGCCTCACCTTATATTAATACACGTTGGCACGAAGCGTGATTCACGAAGCGCTTGGCGGTCGAGCTTTCATCGTTGATTTGTTGTTTTCGAATCTACCCACCCACTTTGGGCCGCCGTGCTCTCTGTCACTCACTCGTACACTTGCACTCTCCTTTTCGGATAGTGGGTGGATGGGGGTGCAAAGCTTTCTCTGCAATGTGCGCGCTGTGTGTATTCGTAGTAAAAATAAAAGAGCTAGGACAACGCGAAAGCCCGGCAAGAGGTTTGTGCGGGTCCTCGGTCTTCGGTCCGCGGGCACACAGACACAGGCACAGACAATTTCTAAAAGCCCACAAAACCGCCCCCACTTGGCCGCATGCCCTAGAATAACGAAAAGTCGAACGAGAAACGAAAGTGCATGCACAATAGCATAAATATTACATACCCATGTACACACATTAATATATACATATGTACATATGTACGTATGTCGTTCAATATGCCTATTTCCATATGTATTATAGAGAAAATATGCAACACAAGTACCTAAGGATCCATCCACATACATACATATGTGCACATGTACGTTTGTATTTACGTCATAGACTGCTATACCGCAATAGTAGTAGAGGGTTCCAAAAATATGCAGTTAGCCTTCTATCATTTACCCTCAAGCGTTTGACTGTTAACATTTAGCATTTCGTCCTTCGCAACGGGTCAAAATAATGGATTGTACATACATACATACATATGTACATATGTAGGTATTTCCTGAGCACAAAATTAAGTCAGTTCCTCCATGCTTAAATTCTTTAAGACTAAGCCTCTCCCAGCGTGGAACTAATCCCTCCAGAAGGCTACCCCATCTCCTCCTTGATTTCTTCGTAAGTCGAGGGCTTCCAGTCGGAATGAAGGCTCTGCAGGAGAGGAAGAGAATGGGAGAGTGGCTGCCAGTAGACTGGAACTACAGAGCTACAAAAAATGATCTGCTTTTTAATATAGTAGTGGAAGAGAGAGAACAGGCCTCAATGTTGAAGATTTCGAGTTCTCGGATGAGCAAGGCTCTAGATCGACAGCGGAAGAGAACCGGCCAAGGTGAGGGCGATTAAGGGTCAAGGTGACCAAGAGCAACAGATGATATTGAAAGGAAGAGAAACGGGCTAAAGTTGACAAGAAACTCTGGATGAAGAGCTCCCACGTCCAGATGAGGGAATTCGTCAAATGGAAAATCGCCCCGAAGAACGGCTTGAAGATCGAATCCCGCAATAAATCCCTAGGTATGGCTTACAGCCGACTTTTGGGAGAGCCAGAAGATCAATGGTTCAGGTCTGGTATCAGGGACAACCAACTCAAGATAAACCCCAGATATAAAAAAAAAATACGTCGATTGTGTAAGGGATTTTGGGATAGTTTATTTATTTCTGCAATATGTATATTTGGGGGTACAGTACACCGACATGCACATAAATAGATCCATACATACACACATAGACGTATACACATGTACATCAATAAATTCTCAAATTTCGAAACGAACGAACATGCATACAAAAATATTTCGTTTTTTTCTTTTCGAACTTGCTTTCAAGGATTTTGTCGTTTTATTATGGTACAATAATTTATAAATTATTCCTCTAGTCTAAACACACAAAAAAAAAAAACATGTAAGTATATGTATCACAAATATATATATACATATGGTAATATATAACTTTAGGCGAAAGCTTTTGATGTTTAAAAACAAAACAAAAAGAAAAGGACTCGTTATACTCGTTGAAAGGAAATTGATTTTGCTTTTGATGACGGACCCACAGCTGGGGGGCCAGGTCTATCTCTTAGGTTGAGCTGGAACTTAGGCAAGGAACCACACCCACAAGCGGATGGAACCGATTTATACATATAGGATATTCGTAGTCATATTATGATATACATCAATACGTTACATTAAGATTATTCAACATGGTCGACTTCAACTGTACACATACAAAGCGATTGGGTTTTAAATATGGGTTTTGTATTGTTTTGATTGTTTTTTTGTTTTGTTTTTGTTTTTTGGTTTGTTGGGATTTGCTGGGAGTAGTATGCCCGTCTCTAGCTTCGTCAAAACCGAAGACCCGACTAACATATATAAATATTATTTTTTAAGCACGTGCATTGCTCGACCCGAGTCAGGCTTTCAAGTTGTACAGTGCGCTTCCTTGCCAAAAAGACAGCACATCAAGATTTGGCAAATTGCAAATATTTCCTTTGATTTAAATACAACAAAAATGGTTCTTGTCCGTAGAACCTATAGAACCTATAAGGAAAACATATTTTAAAAATATAAAATCAGATGCCTTTGTTTGATTTTCTTTTTCAAATACGAAATAACAATGAAATATGAAATCATAATGGAAAAGCCATGAAGTTTCATTTAAAAGGACAACATATAATAAATTACTTGTCAAATCATCCAATAAACATCCATTATAGAACCATGAGAAACTATAATAAAACTTATATATAGTCTAGTATATAGGAAATAGTTTTGAAAAACATTTCATTTCCTTTGAGATACTTTCTGTCTTTGTCTTATTGCCTCGAAACGCACTGTACTGGTAGCAATTGTCGAAAGGATATACATAAACTAGGTTCGAAACCAACACACAAATCCATATACGCATCGGCGCGTAGGTTGTCCTTAAGCTAACATTTGGGATTAAAATACATGCGTGCCAACATCCAACATCCAACGTCTTCTCTTCCACCAAGTCCATTTTCCACTGGCCATTCAGCGTCCTGCTTCGGTGGAGCGCGCCTGCTCGCGGCCATCGCCGCGCTCAATGTACCAGTTGTTGTTGTCCTTGCGCTTCTGGTCGTGTCTGTGGCGACTCTGCTCGCGATGCTGCATCAATTTCCCGTGCCATTCGCCACTGCCGCTGCCATCGCCATCGCTCTCGTCCCGCTCGCCGCTAGTATGGCGCTGCTTCTTGCCGTTCTTGTTGAAGCGCTGCTCCCGTTCCCGCTCCCGCTCGCGCCTGGATGGATCGTCGTTGTGACGCCTCTTGTTGTTGTACTCCTTCGAATGGTCCTCCTTGCTCCTGCCGCGACCATTATCCCGATTGCCTTCGTGCGAGTGATTCGGATTGTATTTATCGTTGTACCGATCCTTGGAGGCATTCGGCGAGTACTTGTCATTGTATCGATCCACCTTCGGCTTGGGTTGTTTATGGGGATTGCCGTTGCCATTGCCTGTTGCCTGTTGTCTACCATCTGGATGGAAAGCCTTTGCTTCGTTTGTGCCAGTGGCGTCGCCCTCGTCCTCGGCGCCGTCAGTGCCTAGTGTGCCTAGTTTCTCGGTGACCTTTTCAAAGTTGCGAAAGGCTTGAGACTGTTGCAGCACATCGTGGACAGCATCACCGATCTCATCTACTAGAGATTCGGGAGCCGGTAGCGGGCTTTCCAAGCACATGGAGGCAAACTTCACGTACTGGCCATCGCGGCATTTGTGGGGCTTCTTGAGGTCCTCCTTTGTTATGTCCAACGGTTCCAGTGAGTCGCCGAGTCCGGGCCAGGCCTTGAACTTCTTGTACTTTTTGCCTTGGCGATTTTCCATTCCCCCTTGCTCCTGGGCATAGGTATTGTAGTATCCATCTGGGGCATAGGCTGGACCCTGTCCGGAGCTTAGGTACTGCAGTTGCTTGGACATTATGTCGATCTCGGCCCGCATCAGGTTGTTCGACATCTCCAACTCCCCCAATCGGCGCTCCAGCTCGGCTATGGGCTTGTCGTTGCCAAAACCCGGCCACTCGGGATGCTGTAGCTTCCCGATGAAGCCCAGTATAGCCAGAGTGGCGCCCACATAGAAGACGGCCGTAAGGCTGTTCTGCATAACCGGATACATACGATATAGGGTCTCAAGCTTCGTTTCTTGCTGCAATAAATTCAACTCTGGCTCCACATACGGCTCCGTTTCGGTATGCTTGTGGCGTCGCTGCCTGAGCGGCGGCGGTGGCGGCGGCGTCAGCGGCAATCCTTCTATATTTCTGGGACTAAGCCGCAGGGGGGTGTTGGGTAGCTCGTTGAAGTTCAGGTCGGCCAGGGTGTCGCGCAGAAAGGGATGGGGTGAAATGCGATCGGTGCTCTCGCAGTCGCTGATGATGGAAATGCCATCGGAAATGTCATCCGCCTGGGAGTCCTCCACCACGGCCAGGTTGCATCTGTTTCGAAGCGAAGGAATTGGGTTATTTCAGGGTGCACTAGGTACTATAGGGTATCTCTGTGTACCTGTCGTTTTCATGCTTTTCGTCGGAGTCGCCGCACTGGGACTCCCCTGGGACTTTGGCCTCTTCGTTGCTGTTGGGATTGTCCAACACCATCTCGATCCTATCCGATGGTAGAATGGTCCATGTGGATGATGTTGTGCTGACGCCGAGCGAGTCCTCGGTGGATGTTGACTTCGAGTGGGTATTGGGTTTGTCGCTCCCGCTGCTGCTGCTGCTGTCCTCGTCCATGCTGTTCTTTTTGCCTGGGAAATGGGCGAAAAATGGGAACCGGTTAGGAAACATTCAATGATTTAGGTATACAGAAGTCCTTGCTATCACTCTTACTATTTTTAATTCATTTTTTACTCTATTTTGTGTATTTTCTGCGTTACAAACACCAGTTGAAAGACACTCAAGAACCCATCTGAAATGCGTTTTCCGCTGCTAGGTGGATGGATGGAGAAGGACAGAGCTTCCTGCAGGAAAACGAAGGAGATAACGAGAGTGTTGTCTGCCGCCCCTCAAGCAGGATAAAGCAGGATGGGGATGAGAGTGCGTTTTCTGCAGCGTGTGACCTTCGAGCGAGGCCTAAATTGTACCCACACGCACGAACAGAACAGCTGGCTATCTCGCTCGCGCATGAACTGTTGCATTTCTTTTGTGTTGTTGTCTGGGGCTCTCAGGGTTGTCGGTATACATGCATGCGCTCACACGGCACTCACACGCACCTGCATACACCCACACAGATGCACACAATTTGCAGATTTTTCATATGTTTTATATTTCACATTTCTTATTGGCATTATAAAGCAAGTCAAATCAAAAACAATGCATACATGTATGTACGTGCTGTGTATGTATGAGTGCCTGCACAACAGTTTGTTTGCCTGTATGTGTGTGTTGTTTTGTTTTTCATTTGGTTTCTGGTTAAATGCAAATTATTCACTGGACACTTTGTTCACAGTTTTACCTTGAATCACTATCAGTTCTCTGCGGCTAGTGACACTTTTAGTTGTCGCAATTTGAGATAAAAACTGTCAGCTTCGCTCAAAACCATAAATAAATGTCGGAGTATTATGGCGAATACGTCACAAATTTTAAAATATACCGCACAAATACTGATGCATTTTTTCTACTAGGGTTCCATCATATTCCTAATTTTTGATATTCGTTTTAATATTATTAGCTATCAAGGATCCTTAGCTCTCAACTTATAGTTTTATCCGATTATTAAATCGGTTTCCTACAAGACTGGCTAAATTTAAGTTTTCATATTAATTGCATTGCTTATAAAATAAGGTCTAAGCAAAACCGGTCAAGAACAGTTTCCACTAAATTAATTTCCCTACATGGTAACTACACTCATACTACACATTTGCCACATATTAACTACATTTTTTCCCGTTTTTTTTCATATAAGCCCCATGAACGCGCCAGTGTGAAAAACCTCCGTTATCCACCTATTGACATGCATTTCTTTCCGAAATTTTTGAAAAAGTTGAGATTTTCATGGAAAACTGTCAGGAATTTGATTCGATGTTGTCTGGGACATGACTCCAAGTGGCATTTCTACATGGTTTCTACATTGCTACAAGAGGGTGAGTCCATAACGCGTCTTAAAACATACTGGAAAGTACTAGAAAATACTATGAAAAGTAAAAAAATTGCAAGGTGTGGGAGCTAGACATGGTGGCAAGAAAATCAGTGTGCCCCCATTATTTAAAGTATCCAGTTTATGGACTCCCTTTATTGAATTGTTTATAACATAAGATTTAAACGAAAAAAGGTCAACAACAATTTCCATCAAATAAATTAATTGTTGTACATGGTAACTACACATTTTCTGCATATTAACTACATTAGTAGGTAATGATCAAAAGCGACACCTGAAGGGGAAATGTGTACGGTTGTTGTTGTTTTTTCATATGAGACCATGGAAGCGCCAGTGTGAAAAGCCGTTATCCAATTTTGTATAATCCTATTTTCCCAAATTTTTGAACAAATCAAGATTTTAATGGCAGGCCTTTGCTCTTAGTGCTCCCTTAGTGCTCTTATGTTTCGTAAAATGTTGTTTTGTTTGTCTTTGGATTTGCACGCAGTGTGCAAGATCCATGGCTTCCCCGCCGAATATCAAAGAATTTTCAGCTTTTATATAAATGAAAAACATGTTGAAAGACTCACCTTATAAGTTCTTTTCCATGATGCGCCGCACTTCGCCCGCCTCCGAGCTCAGCTCCCAGTCGGATGAGGCGTTTCGCCCCTGTGGACTGGACCTGGTCTGTACCCGGTGCAGTGTGAGACTCCTCGGAGCGGGCACAATGCCCTTTGAACCCATGGGCACTCTCACGCGTGGCGCTGGCACCGGATATCCGCGCGGACTCAGGGGCATCGTCAGGAGCCGCTGTTGCTGGAGGTGCTGTTGGATCATATGCTGCTGCTGCTGTTGCTGCTGTTGCTGCTGTTGCTGCTGTTGCTGCTGTTGTTGGAGCTGCAGCTGCAGCTGCTGGTGGTGCTGTGGCGTCCAATAGATCTGGCTCTGGTGTCCGTTGGGGGCACGATCCAGTATCAACGGCGTGGCACGACCATCCTGCAGCACATAAGAGCCCTGGCCCTGGCCCTGGCCGTGGCCGGCAGCGGGACGCGCCACGAACTGCGGCTGCATGTAGAGGCTGTTGTGGTGGTAGTCCACCAGCTTGGCGGCCTGCAGGCCCTCGCCCGTCTCCACCAGCACGTACTCGGTGGGGGTAAGCCTCATCAGCTGCGGCAGCTGCTGCAGCTGCTGGCTGGAGAGATACTGCTCCGAGTCGTTGGACAGCAGGCTGCTGCGTTTGTTCACGTGCGCGTAAATGGGCGAGGCGGTGGCCCCCCCGGCGCCGGCTGCAACGGGCACAAAGGCACGCGACTGGGGCAGGCTCTGCACTCGGAGTGGCACCTGCGGCCGGGCGGCGGCACTTAGCTGTGAGGCGGGACGCTTGTGGCTGGTCTCCACAGAGGCGTACGACACGGGAGAGGTGTCCGCAGCGGCGCCAGAAGCGGGGCTTCTCTGGCTCCGGGTCTCGTAGATGGGCTGCATCTTGGCCGCGGGCAGCGGGGTGCGGCTGATGGATTTGCGGCAAAACTCCTTGACCTTTTCGAGTATTTCCTCGCGGGTGAGCAGTCCCCCGATCCTGCGGCTCGAGGCACTGCTCGAGCGACGCATCACCACCGCCGCACCATCGCTGGGTGCCGCCTCGCTTTCGCTCTCGTACCCACGTCGTGCGTGGATCTGGCCGGGACTCGGCTGAAGGATCATATTGTCCAGAACACTCTGGCAGCGTGCCGGTGGCGCCTGCTGTTGCGGCTGTTGTTGCTGTTGCTGTATCTGCTGTACAGGGATTATTGGTGTTCCATCGAGGATCATCACCTGCCGATTGCGGCCGCTGATCCCCGAGAAGGTGTTCCGCTGCAACGAGCCCCTCACAAACTGCTGCTGGACGGGATGCAGCTGATTCGGTTGCAGGTGCTCGTAGATGTTCTCTTGGCTCTGCCGCTGTCCCTGCCGCTGTCCCTGCTGCTGTCCCTGCGGCTGTCCCTGCTGCTGCTGCTGCTGTAGCACCTTGTGGTAGAGCTGACGATCAGTCACCTCCTTGATGGCCTTCAGCTTCTCCCAGTCGTTCTGATTGCCGCTGGCCTGCTGCGGCTGCTGCTGATTGCTGCTCTCTTGGGTCTTTCGCTGGGGCGTAGAGGTGGCCACTGGCTTGAGATGCTCTTCGGTAGGTGACGACACATAGGCGGAGGCCAGCGATCGACGCTGGCCCACTGCCTCCAGTCGGCTGGGCTGTCTCTGGCTCTGGGCTCGGATCTGGTTCCTGTCCATCGACGCAGAGCGATTGAAACGGCTGGGATTGTGGCTCTCCGGAGAGACGCGTCTGGGTATCAGGCTCTGCCGCTCAATAGTGCGCTGGAAGGGAGCACTGGCACCCCCGTTCTGGACCGCATGGCCATTTGTGTACTCGGTGGAGCGTCGCAGGGCGGTGGCCTGTCCATTCTGAAGACGACCGTTCTGGTTCTGATTCGGGTTCTGGTTCTGATTCTGGTGGCTTTGCCGCTCCAACAGAATGCGCCGCATCTCCGTGGGCACATCTCCGGCACTGGCCTTCCGGTTCGCCTCCTGCCCGTAGACGGACCTCGGCATGGGCATGACCGGCTTGGGCGTTGTCTTGCGCTTGGGCGCAAACAAACTGTTGGAGAGACGCTGCAGAACGGATAGCTTTTTGGTGTTGCTTTGGCGCAGGGCGGCCAGGGACTCGGCCACCTGCTTGCGTCGCTCCTCCGGTGTCCTCGGCAGCGTCGATGGCGAGGGCGAGGCCGAGGCCGAGGCCATGGGCGTCGACGAGGGCGAGGGCGTGGCCAGCTCTCGCTTGGGCATCAGCGCTAGACCCTTGCGCTCCAGATAGGCCTGGAACTCCTCAGAGCTGATCGTGTTCGTGAAGGTCGAGGGTGGCTCGTGATCCTTCGTGATCGTAGGCGGCTGGCTGCTGGTCATGTCCTCAGGGGCAGGCTTCTCCTGATTGCTGTTCGTATTCGGGTGGGAGAGATCGTCGCTGGACTCGCTCTTGGTCAGGGGCCCATCGATCTCATCCAGATCGTCGTCGGAGCTAATCTGCAGCTTCTTCACGCGCTCGTCGAACTTCTTGGCGTTCTTCGTGACCTCCGCGGGATTGAAGAAGTCGCCCTCGGAGTCGGCAGTACCCGTCCGTATCTTGATGTTGGCCAATTCCGGGTAATTGGGCTTCGAGCACTTTTTGAATGTTTTCGGATTCAACTTTGGCTGTTTGACCGCCTTCGGCTCCTTGGAGCGATTCAGGCCCGTCTGCTTACGCTTGGGGATCTCCTTTTCTTTCTCCCTCTCCCTCTCCCTCTCTCTCTGCTGCTCCTCCTCGCACTTGAGGCGGGCCAGCACCGTCGGATCGTAGACAAAGTAGGCGTCCGGGTTCTTAATGTACGTCTTTACATATTTCGATTGCTTAAGTACTTCCTCGGTGGTTATATATTCCTCAGCACCTGCGGGATTCCCTTTGATGCTTCCGTTCTTCTTTCGTGCATTCGTCTCGTTCTTGAGCTGCTCTCGCTCTCGCTCACGCTCTCGTTCTCGTTCCTTTTCGCGTTCTCGTTCCCGTTCGCGCAGCTGTTGGGTTACCGTCTTCCGTACGCTCAATGTTGATCGCTTTGTGGGCACTGGCGGTGGGGTCTTCTTCTCCCTGCCTCCTCCTCCTCCTCCACCCGCTATATGGCCATTCCGGAAGGGATTCTTTTGGTCAACGATGGGCTCTCCAGTGGTGAATTTTCGTATCTTCTCGTCGTTCGGATTGAAGCTAACCGATTTCTTTTTTGCCTTGCCGTCCTTGACGTTGACGTTGCTCTTTTCCAGTGTGGCATAGGACGCGTCACTCTCGAAGGCCTCCACTATTTTCAGGGTTGCATCGATATAGTCGATCGTATCGCTATCTATCTCTGATTCTCGCTGATTGGTACCGTTTGCAACTTTCTCTTGCTCTGTCTGTGGTTGTGGTTCTGGTGCGACCTCAACAACGGCTTCGTTGATTACATTGCCATTTGGTTTGCAATTTCCCTCCTCGATAATCGCCTCAGACATGTTTCGTAATAGCTCTCCAATGGCTGCTGACAGGGGGTTGGTGGTGGTGGTAATGAGGGGGAGAGCTTGGAGGGGGCTTGGAGTGGAAGAGTTGGAAGAGTGGAAGAGTTGGAGTTGGCTTTCGTATATCCGCCCACCATTGATAATGCCTGGCCTGAATGTCCGTTAGGGGAAATCTAAATAGATCAAAAAGTAATTCATTCACTCACTCACTCACTGATTCGTTCATTGATTCCTTTATTCATTCATTCATACGTACGTCTAAATATCTCTTCCTTTTTTGTGGGGGCTGCGCGATTAGCCCAAGAAGAATTCCCACGCAGTCTCCATTCAACAGATCGTTAATAAAATAGCCGCCAGAACCTGGAAAAATGCCAAAAGATTAGCGTAAACATCAGGCAGAGGGGATTCTTATACGTGTACTCGCAATCCCTCAATTTGCCATCGCCCTCTCTTTCAGTCTGTTTCCATAAATTTCATGGGCCATTAATCAACAAATGGCCAAAAACGAAACAAAAAAGCCAACTAAAAACGGAGAAACTGGTTTTGTTTTTGGCAACTTTCCGATCGATTCTGGTTATACGGAGCCCAGAGCAAGGTGGTTCATAAATAGTTGATAAATAAACACCAACAGCACTCTACGGGACACCTAATACTGGATACCTAATAGACTGCCAGCGAAAGAGTTAAGAATATTAGGGTCTCTTCCATATTGGAGCCACGTTATTCCTATTTGTCTATGAAATGATTAAGTGGCGCTAAAATATCCAACAAATTCTCTCCCTTATTCTTCCATCTCTGGGAAAAATTGAGAGAGATCGCGGAAAGATCGTCCCTCCCCGCATAAATCAACAAATCAATTCGTCCCTTTTACGAACAGCGATAGAATATATTTTGTAGGCCCACTGAGTACCGGGTATAAGAGAAGAGCCGCGGCCCTTGCCGCGGATCACGACGCTCTCGCTCGATTCTTTTGAGGCGTTTTGGCGCTACCTTACGAAGTTCAGGGTCAAAGATACATTATGGAATAGCTTTTATCATGAATCATCTTAAAGGATATTAAAAGAAGAAGATATCAAAAACGAGTACTAACATTTCTATTAGAAAGGGTTTTCTTTTAGTAGTTTTGTAGTTTCTCTGCTCGCTTTTAGGTGATTTCAAACCGTTGAAATATTGAATATTATGGATCTTCTTGCAACAGTCTCGAAGTGGATACATTCCTCTTTTGTGATTTGCTTTTGAAGTAATCTAAGAAGTAATCCCCCGAGTCTGGCCCCAATTGTGGTGGCTTTATAATGGGTCAGGCATCGCCTTACCTTTACCGCCAATCAGGGGCATGCCACAATGCTGCCTGCCAGAGCAGAGAATGGAGGAATTGCCAGAAAGAAGGAAGAACAGATGAAATCAATATTTTTCAATAATTTCTCGGAGGCCTCCAAAGGTGACACTCTACATAGAATGTGGGTCAGAGAGCAGCCCCTGATGGCGGGGGGATGGGACAGCGGCCGGGAGACGACTTAAACCGGTTTGCTGCATTTCTAAGTGCACAAACATCCAATTTGCATAACCGGGGGGCCCCGTTTTGCGCGTTTTTTTTTAAAATCTAGACAGGGGCGTCCCCGAGGGGGAATACTCGCAAGGAATCATGGCTGTAGCTCTCCAGAACAAGCCTGGGACTTTGGTTAACCCCTATATTGATTAATAAATTATGCATTAAAACAAAAAATAAATCTAAATATATTTCATGCCAAAATAAATATATTTCGGATTTCGATTAAATGTTTTTCCAGAAATTAAAAATAAGTTTTGTATATTTATGTTTAAATCAAAGTGAGTTCTGTTTAATTTTTGGCTGTGTTTCTATTCTTTTTAGGACAATTTTTTTGGGGGCTTCCCCCTCGCTCATGGCCTACGCCTCTGTGTCCAGTATCTAGTGCACCTTGGATCCACGGACAGTGGCGCATTTAGAGCTCGCCTCATGAAATCGACGCTAAATTGCAAATTGCACAAAGACCCGACCCGACCCGCCCTGCCTCCCACACCCACTCCCACTCCCACCCCCACCCCACTGCCCCTCCCATTATGGTTGTGCCACATTTGTGCCCGTGTGCTAATCCATCGCTAATCTGCTCTCTCGCTTGCATGCGATTATTATTATAATAATTTTTGCATAGATTCGAGAATCTCGAGAAAAACAAACAATGCTTTTGGGCCGTTGCGAGGGCAGGTGTTGCAGAGCCAGTCCGACCGTGAACCGTCGGCAGAAACTATATGGCACCACCCTTCTGTTTTCTCTGGGTTCTCTGGGGGTAGCCATAGCCTGGCGGGGGTCACCGTCACCGTCGGCCACCCGTAGAACTAGCAACCACCCCCCAACAGCTGGAAGGCCAAACCATCCCCCGGAACCCCGGACAAAACGACTCTACGGAGAAAGTTCTTGGATTATTGGAAAAATTTTCATTGCGTTTCGCTTTCGCTGCAGTCCCAATCCATTCGATATGCCATGTGCCACACGGCACACAAGGCACAATTCCAATCAAAAACAAAAGGCATTCAAAATGGTACCTAATTTTATTGCCCAGGGAAATCCGTGCCCACCATATCCTTTACCAATATCTAATACCGATCAATCTGTAGAGCTCTTACTTCTCCGCTTTTATTATTCCCTTGATCCAAATCTAAAGGATTGCCTCTTGTGCTCTCTCTAAATTTTAGGTAATTTCTTTGTTCGAAATTCCTCTCAAAACCAAATGTTTATGGAAAGTTCTTCCACTCCACTTTCGCTCTCGTTTAGAGTCTTAGTTTGTATATATTTTGGTCTTGTTTGGGTTTCACAAATTTGTGGGAAAATCACAAGTTCTCTTCTTGAGATCTGTTTGGCTCTTCCCTACAGTGGGTGGCATACCAAAAGATCTACAATTATTGAGTATTCTTTGTGTTGCGGGGCTCATCGATTAAGTGCTTGATTTATATTTCCGAGGCATTTTGTTAATCTTTTTGAAACCGTTCCAAATCGATGTGAATCATTCTTTTTGGCCAGACTTCTATCAGATACGTTGGGTCCTTTGTCTGGGGCTATGTGGTGTTTGTGTGTGAATATTTTGGCGCATGACTCGGACGTCATAGGGTCAATGACCAGACCAGACCAGACGAGACCAGACCAGACCAGACGGTTGGTTGTTTATGGGCGCATCTTGCAGATGAGCTGCGACAAATGTCCAGAGGACCCAGCAGGCCATGACTCATGCAGATGGAGGATGGAGGATGCAGCAGGCTGGGAGTTTGGGAGTTTGGGCAATCGATAGACTCCCAGCTGGTTGGGATTTGGTTTGGAATTGGGAAACTCCAGGGCCGGCCAGGCTATGGCTGCGTCTTGTAATTGAACGCCTTAAACGCGTAAACAAAAGGGGAATGTGTAAAAACAACAAAACACACGCGGCGGCACACAGCACGCAGCACGCAGCCCAACTGATGACTGACATTGACGATAAATGAACAATCGACCTCAATAAAGGCAGACAACAGCAACAACACAGGCAGTACCGATGCCCGTACTATTGCGCTCTATTCGTATCTTACCCCAGTACCGTACATATGCCCGCCAGATATGTATCTACGACTCGGGAATTTTCACTCGGGAATTGAGTTGATCAATTCTATTAAGGTGCTCTCTCTCTCTCCCCACGAGCAGCGGCGGCACTTGGATAAGTCAAGAGCCGAAACAAAAGCCGGCAACAATGGGCCATTAAATGGTTATGGGAAGTACTGTACATATGATATGTAAAACCCATCGGGTCTATTGTAAGATCTGATTAGATCCGATAGCAACTACCGAAGGCTTGAAGAACTAATATGGAATCCCAATGAATGTAAAGGAGCTTTACTTGAAGAGTTTTCCACAATTCTGGCCTTGTTCTTTCTGGAAACCCCATTAATATCGTCGTACTCCTAACGAAAATCATCTGAGATCCCCCAGGCATCAGCTTTATTTAATTTACAATTTAGTCATGCCAGTGGATGTATTTGATTAGTATTCAGTGGACAGCACAGCTTAGCAGCTTAATGCCTAGGCGTACACACATTAAAGGCAATTCCACTATTTAGGCTAAGTGGCAGTAAAATATTGTCCAAATAAGACGCAAATAAAACACCTGATGATGGCAAATTCCGACATCTAAAGGTCCTTCAAAGCAGCACTCCAAACGATATCCATCTATTGCTAGGGAACGGCCACCCCGCACCATCGAAAACTCTTTCAAAGTCTGTTCTTTCTTTCTTGGAGGATGGAGGGAGGCTAGCCCAAGACCATTTTATTTTGGTCAATTCAATTCAGTTTTAGTGCTCGACTTGAACTTTAGAACCTGGCAAACAGGTTGGGTCAAGAGTGTGGTGTGTTGTGCTCGAGTCGCGACTTGCCACAGAACGTAGAACGTAGAACGTAGAACGTAAACCGAAGAACGGACGTGGAGTACAAAGCGTGTACTTGTGTGTACGAGTATGCGGATGCTTCAAACGATCCCCAGACCAGACATACTCGTACTCGTACTCGTAGTCGTAAAGTGCTGGCGCAATTTTCGGTGCTTCGTGACGCCACTCTTGACCAGTGGCTCTGGCATTGGGTTTTGTGTTTTGTGTTTTGGTCATTTTTATTTGGGCTTTTTATGTGGCTCTGACTCTGGTTTCAGATCGGACTGCTGGAGAAGTTGTACGCACGCAGGCACGCACAACGTAGTTTGTAGTACCCGCTCCGCCCTGCTCCGCTCCTCGCATAATTAATTGCGCAACACTTACGGAACAGAGATCTCTCCATACAGAAACTATAGTATACAAATCTATGGTAAATATGTATCTGTGTGTTGTGTGTACTCAAATATCAGCTTGAATGAAGAGCCTCAGGGCTCCGTCTTTGACTTCTTTAGCTCGGGCCTTACGGCTGGAGTACGAGTATCTTCCGTGGTGGCTTTCATACCCTTCTGTAATTTGTGCAGAGTTTGAGGGTATATTGGACAGGGATCTCATTATTACTACGCATTATGTTTCCTTTCATACATTCCTAATACATTTTCCTTAGAGTAGAATCTCGCATTTTTTTGGGTTTGTGGTTTCTGAGTATCCCAAAGTCGAGGCAACACTCGTTTGTGGCTATCGCCCTGTGTTTGCCTTTGCATTTGCCCGTTTTATTTGATCTCGATGAGGAGGAGGGGGGGGTGGGGAGAAGTTTTGTGGTAGAGCGAGGAGATGAGATCAGGCGGATGGATGGGATGGAGTCCGTCCGTCGGTCCAGCCGGCTCAAGTGTTTGTTTTTATTTACGAGAAATGTGCGTACGAGAAATGCCAGAGATGATATTTACGAGTATAGTCTC